TAGAAGATGATGGAGTGCTTCAGATCATCGGATTTGCCGTCACCGAGAATAGAAAAACCAAAGAGCTGGATGCGGAACTTGGGCCGGCGCATACCGTTCTCCATGAGCTCGGAATGTCCATCGATGAGGGCAGAGTAAAGACGTGGCTCCTCGCCTTCATTGAGTGGCGGCTCCTCGTCGAGGTAGGCAATTTGAAGATCGGGGTAGGCACGGAGCAGAAACTCGGCATTCTCCATCTCCTCCTTCTTGAACTTCGAGTACCGTTGCATAGAAACCACGAGCTTGAACTTCCGGCGGGCCATGCGCTCGAGCTCGCGCTCGAGCTTGTCGGAATTACCGCCAAACATCTGAACGACCTCGGGGTTCTCGACGCGGTACAGAAGTTTGATGGCGCGGCTGTAGTTCATGAAGCCGGAAATCGTGCGGTACAGCGTTTGGAAGCGGAGCGAAGCCCAGATCCGGGTCCTAAGTGTGTACTCAGGAGCTGAGGACTTAAAACCGATGCAGTAGAATGGCAAATCATCGATCTTGCTCTTGGCGGTTCCCTTCTCCTCCTTTTCCTCTTCGCCGTTGAATTGCGATGTCTCGTCTGCCAGAATCTTGGTGTCCTTCACGAAGCAATCCCACTCGTGGGGGTGGAGTTGTTTCAGATACTCGAGGAGAGTGACGCGCGAGTACGGTTCATCCTCGCGGATGATTTCCCTCAGTGATAGAAGAATCTTCTCGCTGTAATGAGGAATCATGACGGTGAAGGTCGGCATGTTATCGACCGGGAGGGGCTCGGGGATCGGCGTCGAAAGCGATTGCGCAAAAAACGAGATTCTCCGTTCGGCCTCACTGTAGCTGGGGAAGTATTCAGTCTTGAAAGAATGATCCTCCTGCGAGACGAAGAATGTCGGGGCGCGAAGCGTGCGCTTGCCTTCCTGCTCCGAGGGCACCTGGTGGTAGAGGAGCTTTTGGACGTGGTCAATGGCCAACAAATGCTCCCGGTACATGGAAATGACAATGGCGTTCCAGATCTGCGAGATCAGGACCTTAGGCTTGTACTTGATTGCCATGTCGGTGGTGGCCAAGATCTTGGAGTACATGCGTTTCGGCAACCGGGAGAAGACGTTCCTCCATGGAGTCAAGATGGACGAACCGAGGTAGAACGACCGAGCGACTGAAATGCACGCGTTGACAACAACGTACATGAGGTAGGTGTCCAGGAAGAAGAAGATCAGATCCGTGAAGATCATGAGCCCCATAGTGATCTGTGGCTGATATTGGCAGAGATACCTCTCAACGATGGTATCGCCGATGCAGCTACTGACATCCATGATATTAAGGAAGCGGATAGGATCACGGATTGACAGGGCCAAGAACAAGTAGGACTCTCCAAACTTGATACCGAAGATGACGGCCCACATGCCGAACGAAAGTGCCATGTCATTACCTCGGAGCCGCGGATAACTGGCGGTAAACGTCTGGCTGGCAACATACCGCCTCGAGTTCTTGGTCAGGTAGCTTCCGAAGAGACCACCGAGAGGCATGATCGAGAAAAAGAGGAACGTGATCAGGGCAATAAAGAATTGCGTGATGCCGAGAATAAGTGCAATCTGGCCATTCTGCTTTTCAAGGTATGCTTCCTGGTTGCCCGCTGGCATGAAGACGTAGACTCCAGGCCCTACATTGAGGGCGAGAACCAGGAGCAGGAACAGCAGACGTTTGGTGAGATGCTGTGCACCGGCCCAACGGCGCGGGACGTACATCCACTCCGCGAGGGTTGCCAGAACCTGAATGAGAGCGGCAATGGTGCCACCAAAACCGACAAGGGACCAGTGGGCGGCCCGCGGAGGAGGATTGTCGACCTGCTGCTCGTAATTGGGCGTGATGAGCGTCGGGGAGTTGAAAGACGTGTAAAACCAGAACATGGTCAAGTGGAGAATCCAGATGCGGTTAAAGTTGACCAGCATGTGGAACCAAGATCGCGTTTCCTTGTAAGTTTTGAAGAAAACCTTTTTCCACTCGACATCCTTCAGCTTAAGGTAGCGCTCTGCAGGCGGGACATCGACCAACTTGCTCTTATCCTGAAGCACGATGCGCTCGATGCCCTCAGGGTACCAGAAAAGTTGATTACAATCATCGTAACCGATAATCTGATTGTGATCCCGTTCGCGACGGACGTAAACTCCGCCAGAGATTTCGTATCCCTGGTCGCGGCAGTATTGGTAGAGCGGGGTGATGACGTTGTTGAGGAATGTAAACTCCTCAACGGGCTCCACCATGTTCTGGCAGGCTGGTGAGTTCAGGTAGTCGTCGGCGCACTTGAAGATGAAGCAGAGACACTCAGGCATGAAGCGGACCTGATTTGCCTCGCCCCAACAGAGGAGGTAAAGAGCAACTTGGCGGACGCGATCGTGTTGAGACATGCGGTTCATCCTAGTCTTCCAGCGGTACTCAGCAGCTTCGAGGGAGTCGTCGCCCTCCAAGTCCTCAAGCGCCTCGGCCTCGTTCTCGGCTTCGCCGTTCTTCTTCTTGTTCTTTCGCTTCCCGCCCTTGCCCTTGATGTTGGCAAAGCCGACCGCATCGTCAAGGTCCAAGTGGGCAGCAAAGTACCATTTGCGGTAGTTTGCATTGTCGCCGCCGATGTAATCGGCATGCAGGGAGAGGAGAGCCTGGTTTGGCGTCATGCGCGACGCACGGGAGTCGAGAAGGGTCATAAGGTGGTCGTACATATTGCGCATGCTGTCCCGCTGGAAACCAAACTTGGCCGTCAGGTCAAGGAAGATGTCCTCGATTTCTTCCTTCGAAAGAGGTATCTGGGCCTCCGAGGTCCAGGCAGGATAGGGCTCTCGCGAGCGTTGGCCGGCAGGGAGAACGTTTCCGTAGTCCATGCCGTAGTTCGGAGTCGACGCGCCCGATGAGCGATTTCCGCCGTACGAGATCTGAGAAGACGGAGGGCGGTACCCTCTGCCACCACCTTGGCCATCGTTGTAGCCGTCGTAGCGCTCATCGCCACGGCCATAATAGTCCATCTCGGCAGCCCGGGCCATGTCCGAGCGCATGGTGAAATCACTGAACGTCTCGGAATCCTCTTCTGACCCGTTCCGCTGACCCTGGCCATTGCCATGAGCGCCTCTATCATAGCCTTGGTCGTAGTAACCGGCGTTGTTTCCGTTGTTGTAGTAGTCGTCTTGGTACTGATCGTGATTGTCATAATACCCGCCGTCCTGGTGGTACGGGTTATTGGGGTCCGCGTTGTAATAGCCACTGCCAATACGTTAATCAGCGAGTCCAAATAAGGTGCGGGGGAAAAAACGTACGACTCGTCATAGTACCCGTCCCCCTGTTGCTGGGCGCCGCGGTTGTTCTGCCCATTGTTGTCATAATAATGCTGGTCGTCTTGGTAGTAAGAGTCTGTGTTGCCCTGCTGGCCGTACCCGTCATCATAGTCGTGATGCCCTTGGCCATGGGCCTGGCCCTGGCCCTGTTGATATCCCGACATTGTGGGCGCAGTGTCTGTGGAGCGAACCGGGCGTTAGATATCCCGTCGCATCCGGCAGGTCAAGGAAATACGTGCGGGTAGATGGCGGAGGAATGACGACTGCCCAGAGCTTACTTACCAGATCAACAACTCATGGGAAAAGGTCCGTGCGAAAGTTCGTGAAAGCAGCGACAGTCGATCGGGCCGGCAAAAACTCCACTCTTCAAAAGTGGCCCGCCACAGCACAAAAACGTCGAGAAATCAGTGATTGTTGGTTGCTGAAGAGCAATGTTGTTGTGGTCGCTGCACACAAAACACACGCAGGCTGAGCGATTGGCGGCGCGGTGGGGCGCAGACTGCGGATGTTGGCTTGGGGATGACAGACGAGAATGCAGTTCCAGAATGACGAGAATCCAAAGGCTCCGTGCAAAACAAGCTTAGAGAGACTGGGCGCAACAAAAAGGCGAAAGTTTCTTTCCGCGAATGTCCCCTTCGTCTTAGCGATTGACAGGGTCGGGTTTCTCTTGACTGGGCGCTTGAGGTGCCGCGGTCGTGTCTCGAGTCGGGATTAAACAACTGGCTGGCGGTTGGCGGCGCGGTGGTCGGTTGCGTTGCCGCTGGGAACTGGCGCCGATGCACAGCCAAAAGAACTCCCTTTAGAGATGGGCCCAAAACGAGAGATGGGAAGGGAGGTTTGAGCGAGCGAGCGTCAAAAGGGAAGGAAAAAAAAGACTGGCGCAGGTCGAGGGGGCAGGAACAGGGAAAGGAAAAAGGAGGCATTCAAGGATTGGGTGCGTTTCGTCCTGACGGAAACAGGCAGGCCCAGCCAGGACGGGGCGGCTTGCCAGAGGCAGGGGGACGATGGTCTCAGCAGGGGTGCTGAAAAGGGGAAGGGGGCTGGCCGGTGAGGAGACAGTGTTGATCTGCTCCCAGCGACACTGTACGCGGCAGGAATTCTCAAAACTCAACTTGCATTTTCATGCATTCTCTGATACCTATTGTGCACAAAGAACCTAACTTCTCCCGGGCTTCACTCATATTAGTATCTCCCCCAACCTGATAACTATTCCATCACCTCGTCCTTGAATTACGGAAGCAATTGAGTCGGTCATCACCTATTACCAGGACTCACTGGCCACCCACAGTGCCCCCAAAAGCAGCAAGCTCCGTGCGTCTACTTAGCGCAAATCTTGCCACCGCGCTGCCGTGTAGATTTTCCAAGCTGAGTTGGGCCTCCGATCCATCGAAGCGAATGTCGGCCAGGTATTGGATCTTGGCTGTGCTTGGTTGCTGCCAGGGACTGCAAAGCCGGCCGGGATACGCGCAAGCTGCAACACGACTCCTCGGGACTTCCGACCGGTTCAGACCCAATTGAACCACATAGTTACATAATCACCGCATACCCAATCGTAGTTCAGGGAATCTTCTGCGCCAGGAATCGAGCAGTGCTGGCGGTCTGTCACGGAGTGTCAAGCCGAAATTATGGTGCATCAGATTTGCTGCTCCGCCACTCCCTCTGCCCCTGTTCCCCTGAATCCACGCGCTGCCGAAGTTTCGACCAGGTACCCCTTGTCCACGCCTGGTTCGTGGCTCGCCTGGCGGCTTTCTCAAAGCTTGGTTGGAAAAGTCCGATGACGCCAGGTCAAGTCCAGAACCAGGAAAATGTCCGCCATACCAACCAGATGAGCCAGACTCCCAGAGTTTCGTTATCAAGAGTCTTCTATATCGCTGCAGGAAAAGATGAACCGGTGTCACGGCGGTACACCAGGCGAGGGACAACAGTCGCGAAGCGCTGAAACACATGGACAGTACTTCGTACGGGATAACTACCTATCTTTTACGCCCCCAATAAGAATCTTGAGATCTTGGCTCGACATCTGTCGGCGAGCCGGACACGAGTATCCTAGGTTGCACTGCCACGAGGGACACAATAAATGTGTGCTCAAGAGAGTGAACACGAGCTATTTAGCTTTTCGGAAACACACAGCAGCCACGCGAAATTCATCGTGCAGTTGATGCTCTACAAGTGGAGAGTTGGCCGGCTCTCCGGGTTGCCTCAGTGGGTGAGTTCCAGCCCAGTCGCCCCAGAACCCGACTCTTCCGAACACAGTGCGCCATACATGGGGCATCCGCGCCTTCATGCATTGGAACGTGCCGCCCTCTTACAAAAGCACCGGAGATTGGCCCACAATCTATTTCCGTGCAAGAGGCTTCAGGGAATTCCGCACCCGCATTTCGGGTCTGCGGTTCCCAGCCGTTGAGAGTCGCATTCTCAAGAGTCGCCTCCAACCGGCGCAAGTTCGATGACGATGTTTCCAATCTATCTTGCCCTGCTCTCGAACCAAGCCGGAAACAAGCTCAACCAATACCATGATCTCAGCAGGTTGGCTCGAGTTTAATCAAGTCGGTGATGTTTCGTTCTGCTGTCAGCAGGCTGTCGACCACTTCAAACTCGCCGTGCAGCCAGTTCCGTTGCTCTTGTTCGACGGGCAAGTTACCGACGTATAGTAGGTATGTTACCTGTAATTTAGGCAGGAAACAGTTGGTGATGGAGCAAACAGCGCGGATTGGGCCTTGGATAAGCCAACCAACGGCAGTTGACACTTTATGGGTGGAGGTTGAAGTGGTACCTGCGTCGGAAGGTTAGAAATGCTTTGCTGGCCATGCATGAGACTAATTTGGGCCCATGCGAAGCAAGTACATGTAGGAACTGGCACAGCTGTGGCACCAGAGTACCTTCGTGGGCAGAGTTGATCCTACCGTGCTGCAAGTAAGACCGAGGGAGGTCAGAAACCAGCGTCTCGTTGGCGGCTAGGTACGAAGGTAGGTAAAATGGAGATGGATTGGCGACGGCTTGTAACGTCTTTGCACCCCCTCGTTCCCGCGCGTTGTCGGGAACACGCACGAATACTGCGAAATACCTCGAGGCTTCGAAGAGACCCAGCCGCTCTCCTGGGTGGATGAAATCTGACTGTTGCAAATAGTTAGAGTAGTCAGGTAAGCCTTGTGGCAATCGAAGGTCAGAACCGTAACGAATGGCCCAACCGCACACAGTTGATGCGAATATATGCAGACAGTTCTTCGCGTTTTAACTATGTAGTTCGGAATTTCCGGCAACATGCCTCTTTGAATCCACCTCGAGTGGTATGAAGAACGGCCAAAAGCCCCGAGACGGGCCCGAGGGAAGCAGAGGGAGAATGGACCTTCAATGGCTTCGCCGCGAGACAACCAAAGGTAGCGAACCCACCTCCATAAGTAACTCTGGGGATATGGAAACTATAACTACAAGAAGGAATAAAGAGCGGCAACCCCGTCCAATTTGACGACTGGGTTCTGTGCACAGAGCGCTAAAAATGAGGTGCAAGTTTGTGCAGTTGCCTGAGTCAAAAATATGTTTAAACTCTAGTCGTTGCCCCTAGCAACAATTTTGCATGGATGCCCGACGATCCACAAGCTCCTGCTGATTATTGCATTGTCGACGTAAACCGAAGGAATGAGTCAGTTTGTAGACCTCTGTCTTCATTAATTTCGGTCAGCGAGCGTACCGGGATCTTAATTTGCGACAATGGCTCGGTTGGCGAAGTCCACAACGATCTGGAGCGACGACGACGAGTTTCCCGACATTGACGGCCTCGTTAACGGGAAGAAACCAGGGTCTCTAAAAAATGCATCGAAATCACGGCAAAACCAGAACAAGCCTTTGAAGGTGGAAGAACCAACGAAGCCAGCCTCGACTGTTAGGCGACGGAAGTTAGGACCTTTGACGGACAATTTGCTACTGCGAGCTTGGACACCGGACAACGCCGAAGATGACGGAGAACGCAGGAATTTGGGGCGGGAAAGGGAGAACATAGAACCACGGCGGACCAGGGTCGAACTGAGGACTAGGAAGTCGAAACCCGCGGCCGCCCTCGCCTCATCTCCACTTCAAGACGGGGAATATGTATCGGCGCAGGAGGAGGTTACCATCATTGAGGACGTGTCCATGTTTGATGGCACCTTTCACTCTTGCAACTCAGAGGCCTCGGAGGGCTCGGAGGGCTCAGAGGGCTTGGAGGGTTCAGAATACAGCGGCAGCGAGAGTATTGATGAGGAGGAAACATCTGAAGGAAACCCCCCACCAACGAGGTTGCGAGTGAAGCCGATGCTCCGAAAGGCGGACAAGAAACCACCTAGGCGTACCAACGAGGACACAATAAACGACTATTGTGCCCCGCCAAAAGAAGAGGAGAATAGGAATCGGCCTGGGTCAGATGGAAGGCCTTCAACGCGCCGCCACGATGCCGCATCGAAGCCGGAGAGGCCACAAAAGGGCGAAACGAAAACCCAAAAGGCGACCAAGGAGCTCGCAGATTCCATGGCCAAGCTTCGACTGTAGGTGCCCTTTACCAAATTCAAGCTCAATCTAAGGTGCAAATCGAGGCACAGGCAGCTAATCCATCACAGTGCCGAGATCGAAAAGAAATCCCAAAACATTAACACTTCGTGTTCAAGCGATCACGAGGCCACGCCTCCCTCGACACCACCAAAATCCCGACCCGGTCTCACGTCGCCCAAAAAGCTACCTCGTATTCCCATCACACCTCACCGCCCGAATTCCGACATGTTCTGGAGCCAGGAGTTCGTCGACGACTGGAACGACGAGCATTCCCCGCGAAAACAACTATTCCCAGACGCCGTCACCGCACGGCAGAACAGCCCGACCAAGGCCAGCCCGGAGAAGAAACCCAAGAAGAGCGCAGGCGTCAAAGAACCATCCGAACGCGAGGTCAAGAAGGCATTCGAAAAGACCAAGCACGAGCTCGCCGAAAGCTTCCTCCAAGAACTCGACCAAACCATCACCGACGGCAAACTGTCTCAACTAGCAGAATCCACAGGTGGCATCAAGCTAATCTGGACGAACAAGCTCAACACCACAGCTGGGCGCGCCAACTGGAAACGTGAGACCATCCGCAGCCGACAGCCACACCCCGACGGCACCACCACTACGACCACCACCACTACGACCACCACCACCACAACAACAACCCACAAACACCACACCTCCATCGAACTCGCCGAAAAAGTCATCGACTCCGAATCCCGCCTCATCAACGTGCTCGCGCACGAGTTCTGCCACCTCGCCAACTTCATGGTCAGCGGCGTGACGACCAACCCGCACGGGCGCGAGTTCAAGGCGTGGGCGGCGCGGACGTCGCGCGCCTTTGCCGGCCGCGGCGTGTGCGTCACCACCAAACACTCGTACGACATTGACTTCAAGTACGTGTGGGCGTGCGTCGAGTGCGCCACCGAGTTCAAGCGCCACTCGCGCAGTATTGATCCGGAGCGGCATCGCTGTGGTGTGTGTAAGAGTCAGTTGCGCCAGACGAAGCCTGCGCCGAGGGGGCGGAAGGGAGGTGATGATGGGGGCGGTGATGGGGTGGTTGGTGGTGGTGGTGGTGGGGAAGGGAAGAAGCCGAAGGTGGTGAGTGGGTATCAGGCTTTTATGAAGGAGCAGATGCGGGTGGTGAAGGAGGAGAATCCAGGGAGTCCGCAGAAGGAGATTATGAGGATCGTGGCGAGCCGGTGGACAGGCAAGAAAGCTGAGGCGGCGGCTGCGACGACGCCGACGCCGGATGAGCGGGTGAAGGAGATGGGAGGGGGCCGTCGAGGAGCTTGTTGTGTAACGCATGAAGAAAGCATAAGGTAGTTATACCCGGCGTTAGTGTGTAGTTCATCGGCTTTGCCGTTCATTCATGGTCATGAGCTCATCGAGAGCCGTTCGCTCTCCGTCTAACCCCGGCACTAGCCAGCCTGCCTTGCCTACCCAACCAAAACAAAAGATGATCAACAATCCAACATAAATCCTCTGCTTGCGTTGCGAGACCCACTACCCTCAAATCCCCCAAAATACTCTCCGCCCCTACACCTCAAACAACTGCCAGCTCTTAACCCTGAACGTCTCCCAGATCCGAGCCGCGTACTCGACCGCATCCCCAATCAGCTCGCCCTGCTTGCCCAGCGCCAGGTCAACCTCCTCCTCGTCGTACTCGCCCTTGATGTGGGGCACGTTGATGGTGATCAGGACGTCGGCCTTCTCCTTCTCGAACCGCAGCAGCGTGAGGATCAGCGCCGTGAAGTCCGGCGCCGTCCCCCGTCGGGCGTTCTCGGGGTCGGATGGTGCCTGCGGCGTCTGCGTGGCGATGAGGGTGTAGGCTGGTGTGTCGTCGCTGTTGAGGTGCTTGTTAGTAGGGGTGATATTTGGCGGGGGCAAGGGTGTGTGGAGCGGAGGGCGCACTCGAGGTGGGAGAACTGTGTCTCGGTCGTATTCCAGACCTTGACGGAGTCGGTGTCGTCGCCAACCAGGTCCTCGAGGTGGATTGTTAGAGCGCGGCCATCTCGCTCGAGGCCTTCACCACGGGCGTCGACGCGCTGGGTAATGTCGAAGATGATGGATGTGAACCCGTTTTGATCGATGTAGACTTCTTGATTGTCGGGAACTTGGCGAATTTGGCTGGAGAGGGGTCAGTAACTGAGGGAGCCCAGATGCCACGCGCAGGGTAAAAACAATCCCGGAGCATGGTCTAGCGCAACAAGGACCGTACCTAACATCGGCAAACTTCTCAGGAAGATCGCATTCAAGCGCCCCGCCAAAAAGGGGAGTCCTTCTGAATCCGCGAGGCATGATGTGGTTCAGGAACGGAATTTCTCGAGTATGGAGTGAATCTCAGAGGTGTTTAGAAGTAGGCGACGGAGATATTCAAGTGGGGAGAAGGCGCAGCTTTCTTGAGCGCAAGTTGGTTTTGCGACTTGACCAAGGCTGTGACATCAAGCGCGGCGCAGGTGATGGCGGGGTCGTGTGGAGGGTTATTGGCGGGGTATCACGCCCGGTTGCATGGCCGCGCCGCAAATCTTGGCTTTCAAACAGAACTTGATGCGTCCATGGCCATCAATTTGGCCATAACGAGAACTCGGAAAGGAATAAATGCGCGGAGACCATGAGCAGTTAACCTTCGTTCTGTATTGGCGTCGCCAAACTACCTCTAAGGGGGCGCCCGCGGGAGCTTCTTGCCTCCGATTTCAGGGGAGATAGACGCCGCTGAGAGCATTGTTACCCCGCTCTAAACTGCGGCCTGTGCTTGGTCTTGTCTCGCCCGAACTGTACATACCACTGCAGGGTATCGGACGGAAGGGAAAGTCAACCGATCGGAGAGCATTTAGGAACGTCAGCTTAAAACTAGGCCCCTCTCGAATTGAATCTCCTTTGCAAACTACTTCCAAGATCTGGACCAATGGCGAGCAAAATGGCCTCCTGCATCTTTTGCAAGATCATCAAGGGCAAGTCGATCAATCCAAGCTCCCAGAGCTCCGTATGAGCTCCGAACTCCGGCTAACACCGTCTCGACAACCAGGCGATATCCCCTGCTTCAAGCTTGTCGAGACCGAAAAGACGCTCGCCTTTCTCGACATCAACCCGCTCAGCCGAGGCCACGCCGTATGTTGCACACCCTCGCTATTGACCGCTTTGGGACGGATGCTCACATGAACCACTCCGATTCTAGCTCGTCATCCCCAAGTTCCACGGCGAGAAGCTGACCGACATCCCCGATGAGCACCTGAGCGACATCCTGGTACGCCCACCACAACCCACGCGTAGTGGCCGTGTTATGTGATGTACTGTTGTACAAGACTCAAGAGACTGACGATGAACCTCTACCTCGTTCCACGAAAACAGCCCATCGCCAAGAAGCTCGTCGCGGCGACTGGCGCAACCGAGTACAACATCCTGCAGAACAACGGGAGCGGGGCGCACCAGGTGGTTGAGCATGTGAGTTGGTCTTTTGGGTTGGCGGTTGCCTGGTAGGGTTTGACGGATACTGACGCTCGTGGAACAACAGGTGCATTTCCACATGGTAGGTTGGACAACAGAGGTTGTTGCCCGGTGTGATAGGATGATTTGGAACTGACAAGGCTCTAGATCCCCAAGCCGAACCCGGAGGAAGGCCTCGTTATCGGCTGGCCCCAGCAGGCGACCGATATGGACAAGCTCAAGGCGTTGTTTGAGGATATCAAGTCCAAGGTGTAAATGGGGAGAGTAGGAGATTGGTTGAATCTGGGTAGGAAGTGTATGTATGACCCTCTAGGCACCGGCACTATTCCCCGAGATAAATGGGACCGAATCTGTGTAGATGATTTCCATTCCCAGCAAGTGCGTGAGCTTTCGCGAGCCTTTGGGCGAGCTGCAGACATACGTCATCTCCACGTCAATAACAAGACACATCTTTCTGCGGCGGAGTCCAACTGTACTGATTAACACTACTCGGTATATACATAATGCAACCCTCGGCCCTCCCGTCTAATCAAGGTCGTCCTCCGTCGTCTCAACCGCAGGCGCCGGAGCCGCCGCAGGAGCAGCCGCCTTCGGCTCCGGGTACCAATCCAGCTTCCCGCCGGGCAAGAGCACGCCAATCCGGTCATAATACGACCGGGCACGGATATAGGGGTCAACATTCCAGTAGTCCTCGCGAAGCTTAGCAGCAAGAGCATTGCGGCGGGCCTTGACCTCCGCGGCCTTATCCTTGTCGGCAGCACTGGCGATCCAATCGAGCGTGGCGGCCTCGTACTCCTTGACCAGGCCCTCGCGCGCGGCCAGCAGGCGATCGCGCGTCTCCGTGTCGGCCAACTTGGCGTTCTCACCCTCGGCCGGCTCCACATACTCGTACGTCCAGTCCTCCTCGCCCTCCAGATCCTTGGGGATGTGCTTGAGGGGGATGAACGCTTCCATTTCTTTGGCGTTGTTGGTGAAGTGCACTTTGTTGGCGACGACGGGGTCCAGCCAGCCGCGGATTACTTTCCAAATGCCTGGGCGGGGGGGTTAGTGTGAGATGGCGGGGGATGGGGAGGGGTAGGGGAAGGGTGGGTTTTTTACCTTGGAAGATCCAGGGGGCTTTGTGGACGAGCACCGTGCCGAGACACTCTGGATAGTTCGCTTCGAAGCACTTGATCATGAATTTGACAGGCGTGTAATCCTATTTCGGTCAGCAGTGATTAGAAGCGAGGATTTCAAGCTGGTACTTACCATATTCGCCATGGAGAAGTTGGTCATGTCAAACACAATCGTCTGTTCCGGTCAGCTTGATACGACAGTTTCAGCCATGTACAGTCGCACTCACGGCAGTGTCAACCGGGTGCTGCAGCACCATGCGGCACGTCTCAATGAGGTACACAGTGTACTTCTCCAGAGCCTCTTCCGCCTGCTCGCCCTGCTTGTGTAGCCTGACGTTGACGAAGCAGAGCGGCCTCCCCTGCTTGTCATGCCCATGCACATAGCTGATGCCCTTCCTGATCTGAGCCATGAAGTCGTTTCCGAACTTCTTCTCGGCCGCATCGCTGCTCGCCTCGGCCGCCACCGCAGAAGCCTCGCCTTTTCGCATCAGTTCCTCGACATCCATCTCCTGCGCCCGCCAGTTCATGGTGGAGACCAGCATGATAAGTGCCCGCTCGACGTCCCATTTGCGCGCCCGGAGGAAGCGCAGGAGAAGCGCATCCGGGTGGTCGTGCTTCACCATCTTCCAGATCGTGTCCCGTATCGACTGGGGCGACTGGCTAGCGAGAGTATCGTAGAAGACCTTTGTTTGGCCGTACTTGTCGGCTTCTCCATCCTTCCCGAGATTGAGCACCACGGGCGCATTTGCTGGTGCCCCTGACGTGGCCTCGGCCTCTGCCTCCTTCTTTCCCTTCCGGGAGAAGAACGGTATTCGGCTCTTCTTCTCCTTCTTGCAATCCTCCTCCTGGGCCTTGTCGTTGGCGGGGGTTGCGGCAGCTGTGCCGTTCTCTTGGCCCACCGCGCACACTTGGAAAACGAGCTGCCATAACCGCCTGAGCTTCTCCTCTTGCTCAGGGGTAAGGGTTTCGGGACGGCCCGGAGCTATATCTGCCGTCATATCGTCCGCAGGCTGGGACAAATCCTTGGTATCTTCTGACACAATCTTCCTCGGGGCGAGAGTATAGCAGGCTGATAATGCGACCGCGGCAGCGAGGACAAGGATAAGTCCAGATGAGGAGGCCGTCAAATGTCTGCCGTATGTAGGCTGAGTTTCAGTAGGGTAAGTAACTCCCTCTAGTGTAGCACTTGTTGTGAGGCGTTCTTGGTGGTGTTGCGCACGTGATCTACTGCCTGATGAGACGTTTCGGGTAAGAAGGACTGGAGAAATAAAACAAGAGGCCCGGGAGGATGGAAGAAGCGGGATGCCACGCGATAAAGCACGATTATATCCAGAACCCCTGGTGAATGGGGAAGCCGAAAGGAGTGAATAGGCGGGATGAGGTGAGAGCCGCAGTGGCGCACGCATAAGAGAATATCACCGCAAATCTCCTGAAAACGGAGAAAGTGCGATGTTGGTTGTGCTCGTGCAGTGCTGCGAGAACAGGTCAGGCTATCCCGGGTGTGCCGTGTCAGTTTGGAGAACGCATTAAAAGAGAAACATGGATGAATCACGCAAAGGCAATGGAGGCAAGAACCGTCCGGGCAAGAGAGTTGTTTCACATACACAGTAAGTCGGCGTCGATACCGGGGAAACGTCACCGGGCCCCGAGAGAAGTTCCTTGCGGATGACACGGTCACTCCACTCCGTTTTGGTAGCCGGGGTTAAGATAGCTTTGGAGGCCGCCGGAAGGAAGAAACGGGATGTGACGGCGAGACGGGGCGAAGCGGGCGGACGGAATTCCAGACACCAAAAGTTTCAGCGTTTATTACACGAATCGGCCCGCTGACGGGGAACTCCAGGAATTGAGCTATCCGATGGCACGAAACGAAGAATCTGCAGGAACGGCACCAACGATGCGAACGGCTACGTCCCTAGCCAAGGAAAACCCGGGCTTCGGGTTGTCTGGGTCACCCGAGTGGGCATTTGATGAGATTTCCCCTTCCTAAAAAGCATTATTTCTCTGTTCCGGCTGCTCCGTGAGCTAGAACTGCATGAAGACAAGGCCCAGGACGGATCGGTTCGTCGGGCCAAGATGGCCGACCCCACTATTACGGTGGCGGCGCGGCTTGGCGGAATGTTGGCGTTGGGAAGGTGGGCTGGTGGGGTAATAAATGAGTTGAAATGCGGGACAATTGCCAAGACTGATCCCCAAAGGTACCTGACCGCACTGACGTGGTGGGGGTGCCAATCCAGGAATTCGGAAACTAAACAAACACAGTCCAAAACACCAAGTCGATAATCACCACTCGGCACTGTTACCAAGGCCACACCGATACGGTTGCCAACCCCTAAGGATGTCACACGACGACACATCTCACCGCCGCGCGCGGTCAACCTCCCGTTCCCGCCCAACGACACCCCTGCGGCCCTCGTCCCGCTCCTCGTTCCGCGACTCGGCCCGCAACAGCGTGCAAGGCGATGCCGCCTCCTTCCCACTCAACACCTTCGAGCCGGCCTTCGCTGAGTTGTCGGATGCCGTTGCCGACCTTGAGGCAAATATGATGCACTTCCAGCTCATGCATGAGAGCTTGTCGCGGTTTAGCGAGAGCTTTGCAAGCTTTCTGTACGGCTTAAACATGAATGCCTTCTGTGTTGATTTTCCAGAGGTACAGTCTTGAAGAGCAGGGGCAACTGGCGTGTTGCTGACTGAGTGTCATGCTTGCAGGGCCCAATGACGGAATCGTTTAAACGGATGAAGTTGAAAGAGGAACAGGAGCAACAGCATAGTAGGTGCCGCCCTGAGCCAATCTCGGATGGCATTGCTGACAATTGCTTAGACGCAACGAGGATTCCTGAACGGAGCGCTAGCGATATCGACACCGAGGCGACATTCATGTAAGCTGTTTGAGAGATTGCCGGGGGTATAAAGCTGACAAAGCTCAGGACAACGGACACCTCGTTTGTCGAGAATCCTCCATCCACACGGACATCACACAAATACCAGACCCCAGGCGCAAACCGCCAATCCCGAGTTCCAGCCCCGGCTATATCCAACAGAGGCACAACATCCACAAGGGGAGCGGCAAGAGGTGGGCGAGGAGGCACCCGAGGAACGCGCGCTAGTGGGCTCGCGAGACCGAGGGGTCGTGGGATCAGATGAGCTCGGGCTATGCGACGCGTTCCTTGACACGCTTTAGCTACGGCTTGACGGTTATCTATGCGACAACGGCATTGTTATCAACAAATCGCAGGCTGCAATATCAAACCGGCTTCAATCATGCCCTCACCAGCCGGGCCGACTAGCGCTAACCCAATATTCTGGCCAACCTCTTGCCCCTGGGGTGCAAAAAAGCAGCTCATCTTCAAGCCCAAAAGCTAAGCCGGGGCCGGGGACTCCCCGTCAGGAGCTCTCCATAGCTTGGTCCAGATATTCCCTCGCTCGCTTCAGACATTCCTCTTCGCCCCCGTTAACCCAGGACCCAACGACAGCGACAGTCTTGTTTCGCGACTTGAGTCCCTGGGTGATTTGCAGGTCGGACTTGGGAAGATCTAAAGCCTGGCGAGGACATGAGGATTAGGTAGAGGTAAAGAGAAGTAGACAGAATTAAGAACAGATACGCACTTCACTCAAAACTTTAACCACGGCCTTGTTGGCTTCCCCTTCGCGTGCCTGCGCCGCAACACAAATCTGGACAGCCTCGTCGTCCACCGAGATGACACCCTCTCGGTTTTTGCTCGCCCCTGGCTTGACGTTGCAGTGCATGTAAAGGGTATTTTTTGCGGATTTCTTGGTTGCGGCCACGTACCAAATGGCGCGGGCCGACATGGTTGGCGATATGAGAGTGAGGAATGGAGTTGAGGTTCGCAACTGGTCTAATCCGGGGACACGCCTGCTTGTGGGGTTTCCAGTGGTTGCGGGTTAGGGTCCTGAGCATTGTAGGAATCGGAGTAGCTCTTTAAACTGATGCTTGCTGGCTTGCTCGTGCGAGGAAACCCTAGACTAGAGAGAGGCATAAGACACATTTGACATGCGAGTACGCTGCACTTTTCCCTCCGCCCAAACACCGTCCTCTATACGGATGCGGCGCCCTTAAGGGGTAACAGCGCCCAGCACCTGCTCCGCCAACGACACAGAGGTACCCGTGTTGTCAGGCTCGACTGCAACCGACTTGACCTTGCCCTGCTCAACGACAATGGCGTACCGCTTGGACCGGTCCCCACCGAAGATGGCCGACCCGTCGAACGCCATATCCAGCATCTTGGTGAACCGGCCGGTCGGGTCGGCAAAGAAACGGATCTAAGCAACGCAGTGAGCATTCCCTCAACCGCAAAAACAGGAAAGACGAGTCAACTTACCCCTTGATCACCAGCCGGATCCAACGTCTCACCCCAAGCTTTCATGCTACAACCACCCCCTCCGTCAGCAAACCCACCTCACCATCATCTGAACGAGCGAGCGAGAGAGAGACTCACACAAAAACATCATTCACCGACACCACCCCGACCACCTCAAACTCCTTCGCCCTCGGATGGTTCACATACCCGGGCACATGGGTCGCCGAGCACGCCGGAGAAAACGCCGCGGGCACGCCGATCAGCAGCATGTTGTTGACGCGCTGGGCCTCCTCGGCCAGGTTGACGCGCTGGCCGGGGGTGTTCTCCATGAGGGCGTCGGTGTCGGGCAGCGGGTCGCCCGGCTTGATGAGCAGGCGCGGGGAGGTGTGGAATTGGGATTGGGCGGCGGCGGCGGGGCGGAGGGTGGTGAGGAGAGGGGTGGTGGTGGTGCGGCGCGAGGTTGTGGCTGTTGCCATTGAGGCCAGGGGGCGGAGGGTTGAGCGGAACATTGTGGGTGGGGGGCGGGGTTGGATTGGGGTTGGGGGTGGTGGTTTGTCGAAAGTCGGTGTTGATGAGGCTCAATTGGATGTTGCGCGATGTTTGAGAGCTGTTGTCTTTTTGGAGGTGGCAGGTTGGTGATGTGACATCACTTAGGTAGCCGGGGTGAGGAATTCAGGGTTAGGGTCGGTCACTTACACCCACACCACACGAAGCGAAAGGGTGTTTCGTGGGACAGCGCTCGTTTACCAAGCGATTGAACATCTTATACCTCTTCTGTGTATAGGGTTTGACGGTCGCGACAATTCTTAAACCCCTTTTTTCACCCAAATCAAACGAAGCGTTGAGAATGTCGCTGCCATATTTTAGAACAACGTCACAAAACCGTAAAATTATTCGATGTGCTCATATGTCCAGCAAGGATTCTAATAACATCGCAGTTGGTGACAAGTCTACACAAGGAAAGCAACGGAACTCCTCAATCGTACTAAGAGAATGATATTCATTCAATCATAACCGGACGCGCCGTTGTGACATTCCCAACGCTAAGCCACTTACCCAAGGTATCTACAATATATACAGATCTGTCCCAAACCACCATCCCCCCATCTTGATCTTGACCCTATCAAACAAGCACCTCAAAGCATGGGCTTCAAGTCATCAGCAACCTTGAAGGGTGCTTCAGTCTTGGCCTTGATCTCGTCCACCGTCACGCCATCAGCAATTTCGATCAATGTGAGGCCCTTGGCAAAGTCGACGTCAAAGACACCCTGTTCATCAAGTCAGCACTTCCTTCGTATCACACATATCAAAGACAGGACAGAAACCCACCAGCTCGGTAAGGATTCTCGACACGCACGTCTTGCCCGTCAGCGGGAATTAGCGCACTGCTTGACAATCTTGGGATTGCCTTTCTTATCGGTGTGCTCCATGGTGACCACGACTTTGGTAGCGCTGGGGTTGCTGACCAGATCCATGGCGCCGCCGAACCCCTTGACCTTGCCCGGCAACATCCAGTTGGGCCAGGTCACCGACGGCGCTGACCTGCATGGCGCCCAGGATGGTCAGGTTGATGCGGCCGCTGCGGATCATGCCGAAGCTCTCCTCGGACCCGAACACGGACGCGCCCGGCTTGAGCGTGACCGTCTCCTTGCCGGCGTTGATCAGGTCCGCGTCCTCCTTGCCCTTGAGCGGGTAGGGGCCCAGCCCCAAGATGCCGTTCTCGCTCTGCAGCATCACCTCGACGTCCTCGCCGACGAACCCAGGGGCGAGCATGGGCATGCCGATGCCCAGGTTGGCGTACATGCCGTTCTTGAACTCCTTGGCCGCGCGCTTGACGATGCGCTCGCGCTTGGCCTTGGTGTCGCCCGTGCCCAGCGCCGCGGCGGCACTTGGGATCCTCGGCGGCCTCAGCGGGGTCCTTGCTCCACGTGTACTTCTCGATGTTCTTCTCCGGCTGTGCTCTGGGATAACGCGCTTGACGTAGATGCCGGGCAGGTGGACCGCCTCGGGCCGGAATCTCGCCGGGCTCGACGATGTGCTCGGCCTCGACAATCGTCATCTTGGCGTTGCGCCCCATGGCGCCGTTGAAGTTGTTGGCAGCGAGGCGGAACTGGCAGTTGCCGAGCCGGTCCGCCTTGTAGGCCTTGACAAAGGCATAGTCGCCCGCAATGGAGTGCTCCAGCAAGTAGCTCTTGCCGTTGAATACCTTGACGTCCTTGGGGTACGAGAACTGGTCGGGAGTGCCATCGGGCTTGTTGCGCAGCGGCAGCTCGCCGGTCTGGACGACCGTGCCAAAGGCGGCCGGCGTGTAGAAGGCGGGGATACCCTTGCCACCAGCCGCGCACCGCTCGGCAAGTGTGCCCTGGGGTGTCAGCTCTAGCTCCACCTCGCCCGTCAGATACATGCTTTCGAAGGTCTTGTTTTCGCCGATGTACGAGGCGATCATCTTCTTGATCTGCTTGGTGCGTAGCAGCTTGCCGAGGCCGCTGTTGTCGGTGCCCGCATTGTTCGAGACGGCGGTAATGCCCTTGAGCTCGGGCTTCTTGAGTACCTCGTCAATTAGAGTGTCTGGTACGCCGCACAGGCCGAATCCGCCACAAAGAAGAGTCGAATTCGGCTTCATGTCCTTGATCGCCTCGGCGGCAGAGGGGTAGACCTTGTTGATGTCGCGGCGGCGGGCTGTGGCCGAGAAGGACCGCGCGAAGAGCGCAGCATGCTGTCGAGAATCGCCGTTAGTAGGCTCGACGGATGGATGAAAGCTGGGGGCAACCCACGTTCTGACCATACTTGGCGTACGCACGTAGCGTTCTCATGCACATGGCTGTTGACGGCATCTTGACTTAAGGGTTCGGGTAGCGGAGGGTCAAGGACAATCGAACGGCAACCAAATCAACAAACCGCTCTCGCTGTGGGACAGAACACAAAATGTCAAACAAGGTAAGAGAAGTAAAAAGAACAAAAATCCAATTCAGGGAGAAGTCATCGCAGCACCATACCCCATGACACCTTCCCTCAACTCGCCATTACAGCGAGGCCGAGATGGGGTCCTATCCCGTGAATGGCCGACGGCAGTGCCGTGGTCCCTGGTTCATCGTGGGGCCGGGGCCTCCCCACGGCATGTCTCCGCCCCTCGGAAAGGGCGCTCGGCAGCGGGTGAGAATTGACCCATTCCGCGCTTTGCGGGGGAACCTGGAACCGCCCGCGCACGGAAACCAGCGGCCAACCGAGAACCGCTTCCCAAATCTCGGCCGCCTCCGAGTATGTAATTCGTAGGATGCTTATGACTTGGGAAATGTGAGGGAGCGCTGAGAGGACCAGCATCAATGGTAAAGTCACCTCTCTTTTACAGCACATCTCGAGCCACATTTTATCCATTCTTCCCATCATCGGACGACTCGCGTAAGAATTCTTCCATCTCATCAGCGAAGACCCGAACGTCAGCGTGCCAAGCGGGAACTTGACAGGCGAAGTGGGGTGGAGGGGGCCCCAACATCCGGGAAATCGTCCCCCGTGTGCTTGGTTCCCGATCTCGGGTACGACAGGAAGCCTATCATGTTCATCCGACGACGACTACTGATGATACAGGGAAGGATTGATCTTCGCACTTTGAGAGAAACGCTAAATATTGATAACTTCCATTGATTGCATGCCAAAACCCGGTTCCGTCCCCACCCTCCCGACCTGCCGCTTTCAATCCCAGATAATATGTACACTCCCGTGCAAACTCCAGAGACGTGCCCAATCTATGCCCATTCGCAACACAAATCCCGCTCGGCCATGCTTCACGTGCCGGGCTCAAGCGGGTTCAAGCAACGCCCAATGCACCGTTCTGGCCAGAACCCCAAGGTCAACCTGTATCTTGACACCTAACCACCTCTCCGCAGGAGCGTAATATGTGATGCTTCGCCCATCCATGTGCGCAATCTTGCGATGCCAAACCCGACCAAAACGCCCCTCTAACGCTGAGCGCTCGGCCCGCTGTTAGGCATGGCGCCAGTCAATTCGATATTGAAGGTCCACCGTCCTAGTGCTTGTCAGTCGCCTGTAACCCTAGAGAACCGTCCACATAAACATACCTTCAGCCAGGTTCTGGGCAGTATCGTCGAGAAGAATCACCCTGCGCTTGTTGCAGTACGACGTCTTGTCCATGATTTCCACCTTGAGTTTCGAGTCGGCGAGTTCTGATATCGGCTTTTCAAACATCTCGGAGAGAGCCTCGACAGCCATTTCCAGATCCTTTTGGTTGTCTTCAAAGATCTCGGTCAAGTTGTTGCGGGCGAGATAGAAGGCAAAAGCATACGTCCACATCAGGGTCTGGCGGCACGTCTGGAGCGCCTGCGAGGCGGAGTTCAGGTACTGCACCTCGATCCAGGACATACCCGATTCCTTCTGTAGCTGTACCATCTTCTTTTCCGTCTTGTGGTAGATGTCCTTGTCTAGGCGAGCTGATTGATCGTGGTTGGCGTACCGGTTGTAGTAATGCAAGTAACGTTCCAGAGACACTCGGGATTTAGCTTGCGCGTCTCTGGCGTCCAGCCCGCTCTTCTCTTCGAACCGGTTGCAGTTGTACCAGCTCGTGCCGTGTTCAGACCAAAGCCCCATGCACATCCAGCAGAACTCGTGCTTGCATTTCCGGCAAGTCATGTGATTGCAGCCGCCGTTCTTTTCGATTGTACTGTTGCACTTCGGACACTCCTTAGTATTGGCCGATATCCAGTTGGCAGTCTCTGAGTCATCGGCACACTTCTTCAGCCACTTCTTTACTAACTCGCACGGCGCCGGTTGGTGGTCGTTTAATATACAACCAAAACAGAACCGGTGGCTGCAGAGACAGGAGACGGTGGGAACCACCTTGTCGAGGTCTTTCTTTTTCACGCCGCATTCGACGGCATTTTGGCAGTCTGGTGCGGGACACCATTTGAGTGTTTCCTTGTCTTCCACGTAGGTTCGATGGAGCAATTCGTGGTACCGTTCGGTCAACTCTGGCGTGACGAGAAGATCCAACGATCGGGCGTCGATGATGATTGTGCAACCCTCGGAGGGGCATTGGATGCGGGCTGCTTCACCCTCTCCTTGAATCTTCTGCGACAGGTAGTGGCGATAGCAGTCCACACAGTACCTGTGACCGCACTTGAGGGCAAACGACTCCAGTCCGGGCTCGTCTTCGCAGCAGATGTCGCAGACAAAGTTGGGGATGATTTTCATCCTGGGTGGACCGGCTGTCGACTGGGAAAGGCCGGCAGCATCGAGAACTTGGCTTGGCCTGTCCATATAGTCTTCAATCAACCGCTCCTTATTCCACCTGAAATATCGAAGGAGGATGGCCGCCTCTGCTTTGGAGATATCCAGGATCATGTTGACCTCGTCGATCAGCTCGTCTTGTTGTCTCTGGATATCGCTCGGCTGAAAGACCCTGAAGCTGATATCATAGGCGGCTTTCTTTTTATATCCGATTTCCTTTTGTGAGTCGATATCTACATCAGGTTCATCGTCGAAGGCGAAGTCTACAGAACCAGTAACGTTAGCACCCCTCGGAGGAACAAACGAGCCGAAATGCCGGCCATGATCGCCAGAACGACAAACCTTCGTCGCCGGAGATGTCATTGTCGCTATCATCCGGGTGCAGGTCGTCTTCACTAGAGACGTTGGACATGAAGTCGTCATCGGTATCCATATCGCCGTTGGACCCTGTAGTTACTGGAGTGGGCGGTGCGATCTCGGGGCCGGCTGAGGCGAATATCCTCTTGTTGGTAGCGGTGGCAGCAGAGGATATCGTCGCCTCAGCGGCTTTCCGCTTACGAGTTGTTGGGGGAATCTTGCCGGCTTATAGGTGCCGGATGGAACGGTATTCAAGCGTCTCCGAGTAGACGGAGAGTAAATGCGGAGCACCAGAGGCCGGTATGACTCGACGGTGAAGATGTTGCCTTGCAGCCGGACCACAAGGGACGCTAAATGTCGGGTAGCAAGGGTGTGTCGGTCGGGGAGGGTGTTGAAGCTGGGACTTGGTGCGAGTGGTGGCACGGTGACTTCTAAGTAAGCGGGGTGGGGTCGAGTGGACTGAAAGGGATCGGAAGAAGAGAAGAGAAAAGGTTGAGGACGGATGTTGGAAATGTCGGTAAAGAGAGTCCGGTAAAGGCGCGCTTCTGGGGTCCCATCGGCGGAAGAAACGTCAAACCCGGTATTGGATGTTCTGGTGACCTGGGTAGAGATGGATGTGTTGGAAGTGGGAAAACAGGGCCCAAGCTGAGCGGGCGGTCACCAAAGGCATGCGCCGTACGCAGGCGGATTATGTAACTAACAGCCAAAGCCTGGGAGTCATTTGGCCCCCTGATCACTGCCCTGTTCCGCTTCCAGGTTGCACAGAGTGGAAGCGGCTCCATACGAAGTACCTCACTGCGAACGAACAGACAAGCAGGCGCCAGGCAGCCAGCCCCACATTGCAAGCTCGTCCAAGCCGACGCTAGCGCGCCCTGTTCAGCCCAAAAAAAGAGGCAAGGCAGCCTCGTGCCGTTGCCGTTCGAGAAATCAGACATCGTGCAGTGGCCACAGATCGCCACAACCACCCATTGCGCCCAAATTGGCAGAAATTGCACACCAATCATCCCGACGATTCCGAAATTAAGAGAGAGAAAAAGTAGTTTGCAGCGAGCCGCAAAACAGTCAGCATGAACGACGAGATTCCAGAACGCGACGATCAAAGGTCGCGTCGCGAGAAATATGATAATAGGCCTGAATATTCGAGGGGCAGCCGGAACGGTAGGCCTCAGGACAACGACGCTAGTAGACGGAGCAATCGATCCCGATCTCGGGAACGGGGGGGACGGCGCCGTTCAAGAACACCGGATTCGAAAGACCGCCCGTCCCGGTCAAATGATCGAGGGAACAGGAGGGAAAGAGACCGTGACCGCGACCGCGGCAGCCGCAGGCATCGAAGCGGGCAGCGAGACGACGAGAGGCGACATCGAGGTGGTGGTGGAGATAGGCACGAGCGTCGAAGCCGGCGAAGCCCGGATGGCAGGGCACCGCGACGGGAGATTGGACCCGATGGAGGGGATTACCCCAAGCCCGGCAGCGGTCAAAGTCTAATTCGACGTTCTGGTCCGCTCCCTTCCCAAGATGACTCCTTCGCTGTCAGCAAAGGCGAAGAGCCAGAAAAACCGAAGGAGAAGCCCAACTTTGGGAACTCCGGCGTGCTCGCGGCAGCCTCCAATTCCGTGACGCAAGCTGACGGCACTATCATCACGTTAAAGTACCACGAGCCGCCGGAAGCGAGGAAGCCACCCCCGCGCGATTCCTGGAAGTTGTTCATTTTTAAGGACCAAAATATCGTTGACGCGATCGAACTCGGAGCTCGGAGCTGCTGGCTAGTTGGCAGAGACCTCACTGTCGTCGATCTCCCTGCCGAGCATCCAAGCCTTAGTAAACAGCACGCCGTCATCCAGTTCCGATATACTGAGAAACGCAACGAATTTGGTGACAAGATTGGACGGGTTAAACCGTACCTAATCGACTTGGAGAGCGCAAATGGCACGATGCTCAATGGCGAAAGGGTTCCCGAGAGCCGATACCTCGAACTGCGAAACAAGGATATGGTTCAGTTCGGCTCAAGTACAAGGGAGTATGTCCTCATGCTTGCTCCTAAGGAGTGAGCAGATGAAAACAAAACCACGCCAAGCGATGTCCTTGTCCTGACAAGAACCTGCGACGCCCCCAAGACCCCCTGCTTTCTCAACGTCAGGGCTTGGCTCTCCGAATACCGTCAGTTATCACGACTTCGCGAGACCTTTGCCACCAGCCCTTCCAACAATTATGCCGAAGCAGGCCGTCGCATTCGGTATGGTATGACACCGCGTGTTTGGCCCGACGCCGTCACACCGAAGCTCGGGTTGGTTTTGCACAACAATCACTGCCTTGGCAGGCCGTGATTCCTGACCCAGGAACGGCTTGCCCGACGACCTAGGGGGAGGTTTCAATGCGGTCTTATGTCGCCTACTGTGGCACGTCGGGGATACGACTTTTCGGTATGTCAGTCTCGTTGTTCGTGGCCAATGTGTCGACCTTTCTCCGGCCGGATCCCGACGTAGACCGTTTAGCTCGCCCGCTCTCAAATCTTGAGGTGTGATCTCTCTGTTTAACAGCCGCCGCGAACAGCCGGGGCCCTGGTTCCATGATCATTTGAACATGCCCTCTTGGCTGTATGGGTTGCACACTCTAGGTCGCGGCTAAAGAAGGGCCGGCGATCGTATCGAAATATCGATACACTAGCAACAAAAGTGATGAAGAACCCATGTGATTCAATTTTTCCTTGAGCGAGCGGCGGCGTGTTTGATTCACGGGCTGAACGTTCGGCTCGGAACAAACGACAACTCGGTCGCGAGAGCAGATATCCAACTAAGGAATAATGATCCATAGCGATTAATTCTATTACAAACCCACAACGTATTCAGCAACTCCATTCCCACTAAGATACCGACAGTCGGCGTCATAGCCAGCCTTATGAGGTTGATCGATTGCTGACGACAACATCTGCCTCGTCTTCATTTATTATATCTTCACAGTGGCCCGCAGAGCCGGTCACTCAAAACCGTTAGCGGCAACGCCCTGACACACCCTTGCACGGCAGTCTTGGCCGGAACCAACCCGCGGAACCGCGCAGTGTGGGCGACCAGGGGGGCGGTGACACACTGCCGCACACCGAACTGAGGCGCCTATCGCAATGCGGAAGTCCTATTCGCGTCAGCGAAGGATGAGTGCATGCTTCGCCTTCGTCTCGCAGCAGCGTCCCGCCCCGTAGTGACGGCAGCCAACGATAATCGGGAAGATCAAGAAGGCGATTTCGGGAAACCAAGGCTAACCCCTTATTTCCTGAACCGACCTGTTGAAGTCCTGTGCCCGACGTTTGAGACAATTCGATGCTACCCCTCCCAACCTGATGGAGGGACACCACCCAAAGAGGGCTCAGCTGCCCACCGTTGGTCACTTTCTCAGCCGCCGCGTGACAGGCCTTCCCCACGCCGTATTTGTCCTGGAGTCGTGAACCGCGGCTGTCTCGGCGAAAGTCTGCACCAGAGAGCAATGTCTATCAAGCTCCGCCGATGGGCAATCAGCGGGCGATGTCTGCTGCGCGGAAAACGGCTCACTAAATGGTAAAAGAAGGACTCCTCACGGCGCACGACTCTCTTTTGTGTACCTACCTCTGGAGATCTTCGCACCCTAGTAGCCTCGCCTTCCCCTTTGGTGGCGAAGCACCAGGCAACGTTTAGGTGCCATATAAGAGAACCAAGGACACCTTTTCGACTTCTGTGCCTCAGCTATTCGTCATTGCATTCATTTGGGACTAAAACGCCAGGAATGGTTCGTAGCACATCCCATTTCACCTTCTGGGCCGCCGGCAGTTAGTGCACCATGGTACGTAGAACCAACACCTTTCCAGTCCTACCACAAACCGAAGTCCATACCCAAGTGTCTGGTCCTCAGATACCCCCGCCAGCCTCCATCTGCCGGCTGCGAGTGCGGCACGGCCCATGTCCATGGCCGTCTTCGCTAAATACTTCCGGGAGACAACTGACCTTATCCACCAGGCCTCTATCAACAAACACCCGAGCCGGTTCGAGCTTACAGCCGTCTACCATCATCCACAAGCCAAAGCCGACATCGTCCTCGTCCACGGCCTCAACGGGGCGCCAGAGAAGACATGGACGGCTCCGAACGGGGTGTACTGGCCCGCCGACTTGCTGCCGACTTCGTTGAAGGACCAACATGCCAACGTGCTGGTATACGGGTACAACGCCGATGTGTACGGAGGGTTCTGGGAACGGCCTGCGAAGAGTCCGAGTGACAACTTCATCCATCATCACGCACAAACTCTCGTCACGACTCTCACCCACTACCGCAAGAGCGAAGGGACTGAACGGAACCCCATCATATGGGTCGTCCACAGCCTCGGCGGCATAGTCACAAAGCGGGCGCTCCTGTATTCGAATGACCTGCGAGATCCCAACCAGGAAGACCTCCGCTCGATCTACGTTTCAACGTATGGTATCATCTTTTTGGGAACACCACACAACGGGTCGAATGCAGCCGCGTGGGGTGGGATAATACAAAGAATGGCGGATGCTGTTGTCCCGAAGAAAATCTTTGAGTCCGAATCCGTGCTCCTCAAGTCGCTTAAGAAGGACAATGAGACGCTCCAGCAGATATCCAGCCATTTCTTGGATATTTACCAGAAGTTCAAGATCCACATGGCGCATGAGAACCAAAAGACAGATGTAAAAGGGTCGAAGTGAGTTCTTTTCCGTTCATCCCCTGGTATCACGGTATCACACTGTTCAACGTGGCACGCCCGGAATCCCCGAGCAAACACTAACATTCCCAGGATTCTGGTCGTGGACGCCTCATCTGCAAGCCCACAACTTGTCGGTGTCACGTACTACGGCATCGAAGCTACACATTCTCGCATGTGCAAGTTCGAGAGCGAGAATGCGCCCGGCTACCGGACCGTCTCTACGGCCATTCGAGAGTGGATTGCGGACGCCCCCGAAGTGATACCAATCCGCTGGGAAGTGGAAGAGGATCAGCGCCGGGTTAGAGCGAATCTGGAGTACTTCGAGCGTGCTCGGCAATATGTGAGTTCCCAGTACATGTACTCGCATGAAAAACCACTGGGAGCACTGAGCTGACTTGAATCTGCACAGGGTGCTGCGTCTCTCCCTGGCGGAAACTCGCAGCAGGCAATTGGTAGGCTGATTTTCCCAACCAGTCAGGGGTGGCACATGTATCACGGGGGGCTCCTTGAAGGACAGGAGTCGCACGCTGCAGGGGTTGAGCAGGAGTCGTTCCACGGGAACCATGAACACCCCTGATTATTCAAAGGACCCGCGCTGATTTATTCTTGTTTTCGATAGCCCAGAATAGCAATGGGATCACCCCATCCCCAGTCCAACCACCGCCCCTAGAGCCCGGCCGATCCATCTCCGCGCCCCTCCTAACCGACACCGCCCACCCAGCCACGCCTCCGACGGCGTACTCCCCCAAACTCCTCCCCGCGCTCCCCGAGTCCCAACCCCTCCCCGAGCCCGACCACGAGCCGCTCTTCATCCACCCGGAGACGTTCCGCCCCAACTCGTACTTCATCGGCCGCGAGGACGAGCTGCGCGGGCTGCACGAGATGCTCATGGACCGCAAGCGCCGCTCCGAGGGCACCTCGGCCGTGCTGATCCAGTGCCTGCCCGGCGGCGGCAAGACCCACCTCGCCCGCCAGTACGTCTTCCAGCACCGCGACGACTACCCGGGCGGCGTCTACTGGGTGCGCGCCAAGAGCCGCCAGGAGCTCGAGTACTGGTTCTGGCGCATCGCGAGGAACGAGGCCCTGAAGGGCCTGGTCGATCAGCGCGATGTGGATGAGTTGAGGGACCCGAGGAGGATTGTCCATATTGTGAGGCGCTGGTTGAGTGCGCAGTCGGAGTGGTTGATCGTTTTTGATGGTGTGCAGTTTGATACGCCGGGCTTGCATGAGTTTATCCCGGATGCGAGGAACACGAGCTTGATCTATACGTCGACCGAGCGGGCGGTGACCGGGGACCCGCGATTTGATAACCCGCAAGTTATGGAGCTTGGGCTGATGACCGCGCAGGAGGCGCAGGATTTATTGTTGCTTGAGACGGAGAGGCGGCGGCCGTGGAGTGTGGAGGATCAGGCCATCGCGCTGGAGCTGGTGGGCTTGATGGGGAGGTTGCCGCTGATGATTCACGTTGCAGCACAGCATCTGAAGGCGACGAGAGAGCCGTTGTCGAGGTATCTCAGGTCGTATCGGAATCGGCCGAAGGCGGGGAATCTGCCGGCATACAAGGTTGTGCGAGAGCAGCTGGAGAATAGGGGCGAGAACGAGGCGCTGAACTTGATGTCGTTGTTGGTCTTCTTCGATCAGCACGTTCCGGTCGAAATGCTCGCGCTCGGTATGAACACACCCATCCTACTACAAGACTTGGAGATCGCTAACTCCCTACAGGCATTTCTGCGCTCGATAAGGTCACCCCCGTCAAGAGCTGCGACGCCACCCACAGGAAGGCGAGCCTCAACAATACGCTCAAAGTTCTCATCGCCTTTGCCCTGCTCGAGCGGTCTGAGAGCGATGACATCTCACCTACAAGTTCCCGCAGCTCTAAGCGGAGCTTCGATAGGCACGTCGACTACCTGGACTTGCTCCGTATCCATAGCGTCGTCCAGGCCTTCTTCATCGACTCCCTGGACGAGCAGCACCAAATCCCATTCTGGCTCGAGCGAGCGGTGGCCGTTTGGGCCAGATCATACGATGACGCGGACAGGCGTATTCAGGAGGACCCGAGAGTCGGTCTGCCCGATGACTACCGCCGCTTCTGCATACATGGCGAGAAGCTCCTTAAGAATCTCACTCGATTCGAGAAGCGGTATCCGAAGCTCGCCGTTGCTAAGTCGCACCTGGAACAGCGGCTGGGCAGGATCCAAGGGCAAATCGACGACCTATCACATACTATTCAAAAGAACATCCTCGATGGCTCTGGAGAGGAATATCCTGCCTCGGTTTTTGACCGGATCAGCAGTTCCTCGCAGTCCGATGCGGCAACCATGCAGTCTCACAGCAGTCAACTCAGCCGGGTGGGATCTCTTGGTGATGGCGACGTCGACTTGGTCCAGTCCCCGGTAACGGAGTTGCTGGAACAGGACGCCCAAATGCTAGTACCATATCCTACTACACCAGGTGTGATGCCAATGGTGCCCGAGATCACCGAGGACGATGATCAGGAGACTGTTGTGTTGTCTGTGGCAGGGACGCAGGTTCACGTGGGGGCAACGGATCCGGTCGACACCAGTTCACTACCGCCAGATCCATACGACCGTCAACACGACGCGGCATACTTTGATGACTGGCAAAGCTCTATTCCACATCATAGAGTACTCAAGCGACAGGAGACTCGGCGATACCATGATCGTGCCGGTTCCTGGAGAGCCATGACCGTGAGCGATCCGCGGGTTGGACTCAGCTGGGAGGTTGCGCTCGGCTCCATCTTGAGCAGAAGGGATGCTTCACCGTCGTCATCCGGGGCTCACTTGACAGCCCAGAGCGAGGCGGAGATGCAGCTAAATAAGATCAAGAAGGCAGCGCCGCCATCCCCCAGGCAGAGAGGCAGCTTTGGCTCCCAGTCTATGGCTCGACCTATGACACTTGTTGGGAGAAACAGTTGGGCAGTTCCCCAAGCCCAGAAGACGCCCGACACCGACGTGGCGCAAATCCACCCTGAAGAATTCTCAAGCGGCCTCACGCAGATCTTGTCGTCCCCTAAGAGCTGGACAGAGGCAACAATAAAGATGCTGAAGAAGACGGTGATGCCTTCGGACAAGCCCAACAAGTCACCACCTCGACCTCAGAAACCCCAGACGCCGCCAGAGGAAGAACTCATTGTTCCTCCCTCGGGCATCTTCCGCGGCAGCCGGTCAGCCAACTCGAGCCCAGCAAGCCACTCCTCTCCGTTCCCCCCGCCTTCCCTCTCTGGTATACCCACGGATGAACTGTTCTCTAAAGCCGGCGTCCCAATTGTCGTTCGCCGCTGGGACACAGTCGTCTATCACCCCGACGGTACGCCGATCAGCTCATCTGGTATCGAGTGGTCCAGCGCCTCCGATCCCCTCTCCCACTCCTTTCCGACCCTACCCCCAAGTAGGCACCACCACCCCGGCAACATCAACACTGCCCAGCTCCTCCTCCACGGCAGCAACGGCGGTCCTCCGGCAGGATACTCCTCTCAGCCTATGTCGCGCGACGGCTCGCACCAGTCAAACCCCAGCATCAACATCCACAGTCCGACCGCGGCAATCCATTCCGCACGGTCAAGCTCGCCGTCCCCATCACCCACCGGGACAGACCCAGCTCAACGAGCCAGCCCGCCCGGATATGCAACGAGCGCAATGGCAACTGGGGGCAGCCCAACCGGCAGTCGCCCCATCCCGACCCCATCCTCCCGGCTCGCGCCCTTCCCCTTCGCGCGCGGCCGCCGACCCTCCTACACCGAAACGGAGCCCTCCCCAAGGATGGACACACCCTTCCCCGACGTCGACACCTCCTACCGGCACTGGGCCGACCAACACAACCACAGCCACCACCAACCCGACTACCACAACCCCCCACCGCTGCCACTAACAGCAGGCACGTCCTTCCCACCTCCCACCAGCAGCACCATCCCGCGAACCCGCCCCATCACCAACCCCTTCCGCCTACGCACCGGCCGCCGCGCAGCCCGCATCCTGCCCACCCGCGGCGCCGCCGCACGGCGCGCCCAACAACAACATCAACAACAACAACAACCGCGCGACGGCCGCTCCCGACGCGCGCACTCCCTCTCACCCTCGGCAGGCGCAGGCCCGCCCGCGGGCTCAACAGGCTCCCCCGTGCCCTGGCCGCCGGCGTCACCATCCACCACCAGCTCGCCGCTCTCGGCGTCAGGACCAGCGTCGTTGTCGTCGTCGCTGAGGGGGAGGGCGCTGGCGCAGGCGAGGGATGTGGCGGGGGCGGGGGCGGGGTTGGGGTTGGGGATAGGGCAGCAGCAGCAGCATCTGAGTCCGCTGGCGGAGTGGGCTGTGCCTCCCCAGGAGACGGAAACGGGGGCTGCTACTGGGACGGGGGTGGGGACTGGGGTGGTGCTTGGGGAGGTGGTGCCGATGGGAGGGGAGGATATGGCGCGGTCGGGGTCGGCGGGGAGTCATAGTTACAGTCACAGTCGCAGTCGGAGTGGGAGTGGTGCTGATGCTGGTATTGGTGGGGTGGCCGCGGCGGGGATCAGGATGGAGGATGGTACGGTCGTGGAGTTTGGGGCGCCTGCTTTGGGTTCGGCGAGCGGTTCTAGTCCGGGGCTGGGATTGCCTGGTCCTGGGCGGGGAGGTGGTGGCGGCGGCGGCGGTGGGAAGAAGCCGAGGAGGGGGAGTTTCCCTGGGATGGGGCCGAATGGGTTCGTGGTTTTTGATTGATTGCACTGCATGGTGCCTGGACATTGGTGATAGGGAGTCGTTCGTTGTTTTGTTTGGTTTGTGTGGTTTGGAGAGGGTAATGGCACACTCATAGCGACCGGATGGCTAGAATGTTTTAATAAGCAACTTTGGGTGAATGCATAAGTAGCGGTTGTATTGATCTTGTCCTCTTTTCGACTTGATAGCATCACATTTAGTCGGAAGCGAAAATTAGGTGGCCGGACTTCTAGGTAGGGACAAAACGTACTTCATCTCGGAATAAAAAGAGGTTGCCTTCACCCGCCGTCGATTTTTCTTCTTCGGGTTCCTTTTCCGGAATATACTTTCCTTTATTTCTGTTTATTTCGACTCAATGACAACCGGGTGGCTGTGAAAGGGGCGCGAGCTTCTCCGGGCTGGCCGAAAGCACACAACCCCAGCTTTTCAACATACCAAATTGCCCCATATGTCACCTACTTCAGGGCCAGCAAGTGGTCTTAGGACCGCAGTCAACCAAGGCTCCCACTCGGGCTGGGAAACAGAAGTCCCCAAAGCCCAAGACACAGAACCCGCGGCCCTTGAGCTCAACTCTAGCACTAGCATGGGGGAGGCCGTGTCAGCACTCCGGAGCCCTAAACCGCAAAGACAAGGACTTTTCGTCACTTGTCACGCCTCGGGCTCGCCGACGTCGCCATGGGGTTTTAATAACACGCAGATTTGTAACCGCCACAGGCGCCTGCTGTTGTCTCAAGACTGTGAGGAAATATACATCATCGCCGAATACGGTGAGACTTGGAAGCAGTATATCCGCACAGGAAGCTCGTCGGCGTAGCCTACGCTGCCTGGTTCAGATGTCTTCATCAGAAATTCAACGGCCAGAGTCCGCGAAGAATTTAAGAAGGAGACCGGGAAGGTAGCGAGGTTCCTGCCGGCCGATATGGAGTCCAAGGGCACGCGCCGAACCCGCGCCCAGAAGGGGCGCTCGTGGACTCTATCAAGTCGGCGATAGCATTTTCGTCCGAGGTTAGTTTTCGCTCTCAGCTAGGTAGGTGTCTTTCCTCGCGAATCTTGTAAGTCAAAAGACTGAGGACGATGGGTGCTCGGTAACCGCCGTGAATTTCGACATATTGCTTGAGCTATTATCAACCCAAGGAGTGCTGATGAGGAAGGTTTTAGAGCCTAGGACTCGCCGAGGACGAAGACGATTACAACGGAACAACGCCAATGCCACTCAACAACAACCTATGAGGGTTCACAAGCGCCGCATTCAATCATTTACAGCTTGCCAATGTAAATGTTGTTTTGTCTTCGGCTGTTATGCTCTGGTATGAGAAAGAGGAGACACACGCCCGTTGAACACGAATGGCTCTGCAAAGGACAAGTGACGGCCACAGTCTACTAGACACGTAGATATCCTCCGAAGCAAGATCAGGACAGTCATGCGCATACCACTTCAATCTCATTTGAACGCAGTTTGGATATCAACTCCCCGTGCTTCCGCTCTCATCCAATATAGATGCTATCACAACAAGCCCCCGCTTCCCTTTCACTCCACCATCCGGATCCCCTACTACGCCACTGTAAACTCGGGGATCTCGCCCATCTCTTGTTTCAACTCGGCCCCGACCTTGTACGACACCCGCCACCTTAGCTTGATTCCTTCCACCTTCTTGGCCTGGTTCCCGGCGTGGCGCACTTTGATGGATTGGGTGACGCCCCAGCTTTGTTTCGGTTCCAGCGTTCTCCCGCTTTGTGGCTTCAGGAGCAGCTCATAGCCCTGGCACAAACTGTTAGTGTGCAAGATGGGCACGGTTGTTTCGTGGGCTTACCTTGGTCACTGCCAACTGGAAGTGCAGCTCTGAGATGGGTTGCGCCGTATTATTCGAGAATGCAAAGAGCAGGTTGAGCAAGGGGTCCGTGTCGAAGATCCGGTTGGCGACCATGTCGACCTTCAGGCTTGTGTTGCTGACCAGTGCCTTGTGCTCTCTCGGCACCTGTGGTGTCTCTGGAGGTAGTGCTGAGGAGAAACTCCACTCGTCATCATCGTTCGCTGCAGTCGGCGTCTGAGATGTGGCCGGCGTCGGGGACAACGAGGAAAGTGCCGCGAACGGATCCGTGGTTGATGACTGGGTAGGTGGCGAGAAAGCCGAAGCTGGCTGCGGTGTGCTCGACTTGGATGCTGGTGCGGAGGTGAAGGAGTTGAAGTTTGAAAAGGGTGCGGGAGACGGCGTGGATGCCGGCACCTGTCCCTTTGCACTGTTGCCTTGTGTGACAGACGAGAGCAACGCCGGGCCAGGAATATCTGCAGCAATTAGTTGTGTCCGGCGAATGAGATTCCATCACGTAACGTACTAGTATTTTCCCCGAAGCCCAAGGCGATCCCGCCTGCTTGGCCATAGCTGCTGGTGTCAGCTATTGACAAGCCCAAGAGATCGTTTTCGAGCCCGGCCGTCTTGGAAGTTCCCTGGCCACTAGCCGCGCCGTTCGCATCTGCGTCGTCGAAGTCGATCAGAGATAACTCGTTCGCCGCCGCGCTTTTCCCGCTACTTGTCGGGATTGGGGCGCCCTTGGCTATTTGCTGTGCGCCTTCGATATCGCCCTTCTTGAGCAGCTTATACCGCTCGACTGTTCGGTGTATGCTGTCGTTGATCTCGAGCAGCTTGGCTACCGCCTCGTGGTCGTCGGATTCCTCTTCACACATCTTCTGGATCTTGGGTTGGGCACTCGAGAGTGCGGCCGCGAGCTCGGAGAAGACATCACCATCCACCATCTTGTCGCCAGGCTGGAAGGCCGCCAGCCTATCCTCGAGCAGCCTTGCCTTCTGTTGAATCTTACCAACCTCTTCAGCGGCCTTGGCACGGTAGTCGACCTTTGACCGCGTGTCATATCCGGCCATGATCTTCATCAACTTGTTGGCTTCTCTTAGATCTTCGGGTGTCCCTCTCCGGATGAGCTCCTGCAGCTTCGCCGACTGGGCCTCGCGCTCCTCCTCTTCCATTTCCTCGGCAGATTTGAGGTTCTGTGACGGTCAGTATGATCCATTGTGCACATGCTCAAAGGCTACCACGTACTTCACTGGGATTCAGCACGGCGGCATCCTCCCTCCTAACCTCCGGAAAAGTGTATCCTTTGTAACTCAGCAGGCGGTGCATGTCGCGGATGAAGCCCAGGTCCTCCCTGTAGCGGCTCGTATCGCAGATAGTGCTGCGCCATTCTTCGATGGCTTCGAGGATCTTGAGCTGGACGCGCGACGGGCGGATCGGGGGTCGTTCGGGGAACCGGCGCACCAGCTCGTTGAGAAACTCCTTGGTGGAGATCTGCAGCTGGAACGGGTAGCCGCAATTCTTGACGCATATGTCGAGCAGGTTGAGTGCGAGCAGCGAGACGTTGGGATTGCGGTGGTTGACATAGTTGACGATGGCAACGGCGGCCTCGCGCGGGGCCGAACCCTTCTTGGCATTGATCAGGTCGGCGATCTCGAGGTTCAGCGCGAGGTTTGGCTCGTAATTCTCGGGACTGCACGCTGCCTGGATGAACCGGTGAAGCTGCGAAGGTGCTGGGGCAGCTCCCATCTCCCCCCAGCGGTCTCTGGCAGCGAACCGCGCCGAAGCGGCCTCCATCTTGATAATGGCCTCGGGTGTACGTTGCTCTTCGCGCCTCGCTTCTGTTGCGGAACTGGCGGGATCGGTAGTCGAATGTCTGGTCACGGTAAGCAGTACCAGGTGAATCGCTGGTATTTCGTCGAGGCCGCGCAATAGGTAGCTTCCTAGCTTGAGCCAACGTAAACGTTTAGGCTGAGCTTGTGCCTGAGGATGCGTTCGAGTCCAGGGCTGTGGGTTGACGCAACAGCGCGGCGGAGGGAGAAAGGGCCCCGTTTCTTGAATAATCCCAGGGGGAAACGGCTGATCGGCGCTTTGCTGGTGCTTGTGTGGGGCTCGGGCAGCAAGCAGCAACTTGCATAACGAACCTTTGGCGGTGGAGGCGGGGTCCGTTGTCGATATGTTATCAACCCCACCATTAAAGTTCTCAGCGGGAGGCAGAACACCAAGTGAAGTTCATTATCACCACCACACAAAATATCAATCAACCCTTTGATACGGCATAAAGGAAACCCCACCCATTCCAATTCCAACAATCCGGCCACATTCACCGCCAATCCCCTCCCTCGCACTGACACAACCCCCAAACCATGGTCCGCCACAAGAAAGACAATTTCTCATCGCGGGGCAAGCACTCCCACCGCGGAGGCCCCCGAAGCGCCCGCCAGATCGCCGCCGAGAACAACAACAACACCACCACCACCACCGAAGCCAACTCCAACAACACCACCACCGCCAACAACAACCACAACCGCGGCAGCGGCGGCGCTAGTTCCCGCCCCGCCTTCAAAGCCGCCTGCTGGGACCTCGGGCACTGCGACCCCAAGCGGTGCTCAGGCAAGCGACTGATGCGACTGGGCCTCATGCGGGGGCTGCACTTGGGGCAGCGACACGCCGGGGTGGTGATCACGCCGAACGGCAAAGCGACGCTGTCGCCGGCGGACGCGCCGCTGCTGGACCAGTACGGCGCGGCGGTGGTGGAGTGCTCGTGGGCGCGCACGGGCGAAGTGCAGTGGAGCAAGGTGGGCGGCAAGTGCGAGCGGCTGCTGCCGTACCTGGTCGCGGCGAATACGGTGAACTACGGCAAGCCGTGGAGGCTGAATTGTGTGGAGGCGCTGGCGGCGGCGTTTGCGATTTGTGGGCATCTGGATTGGGCGGAGCAGGTGCTGGCGCCATTTTCGTACGGGGACGCGTTTTTGGAGATTAATGGGAGTTTGTTGAAGAAGTATGCGGCGTGTGAGGATGAGGCGGGCATGAAGAGGGTTGAGCAGGAGTGGATGGAGCGGTTGGACCGGGAGTATACTGAGAGTAGGGAAGAAGGGGATCCGGATGATTTGTGGGCCGGCGGGAATCGGAATAGGAGGATTCTCGCGGACTCGGATGAGGATGAGGATGGCGAGGAAGACGAGGAGGAGGAGGAGGATGGAGACGAAGAAGATCAGGACGACAAAAGCGTAGACGGTATCTATCTTGGCAGCAAACCACCCCCGAAAGGACAAGCGCACCAGCCGGAAGAAGAAAGGGACCCATTCGCATTATCATCCGACAGCGAAGAGGACGATGACGCCGAAATGGAAGCCATCCGCCGCAAGATCATCGCCTCGAAGCCCTTCTCCAACCCCGAACCGGACGAGAAAAAGCCCCTCGAAACCGTCGCCAGGCCGCAACCGAAATATAAGCCAGATTCAGACGCCGAGCCCGATTCGGATAACGGGTCCGATGACGAGTTTGACAACATCATTGATGCGACGCCGGTGACAGATAGGATGGGCTTGGTTAAGCTTGAAAAGGAGAGGGCACGGATTACAACAACATCCAGGACATTCTCGTCCGGGGGTGTGTCTGCACCGTCGAGGTGGTAGTTGACCGGTTGTAAAATTGCTTCTTCAGCGGGTATAGAACTTTTTTGTATTATACATAGTATATCTACACAGCGGGAATTCCCAACCTATCCATCGCCGTCTATAACAGCCCCCCTTGGGTTGCCATGTCATATCCCGGGTCTATCCTTTCTTGATCTTCGTAGATGTATATGTACATTTGAAAAGCGAAACACTTGATCTTACAGCTTCCGCTTCTCCTCGTACTCCTCGAGGATCTGGATATTATCACCCGCCTGCAGCTCGTCCCAGTCGCCAAATGACATGCCGCACTCGCTGCCCTTCTTCATCTCCTGCACATCCTTTTTGAGGTGCTTGAGCGTCTCGATGGTGCCTGTTTGCATTGTTAGCTTTCAGCTTGCCAAGTGCTTCGGGGGTGACGAAGCATCGCATAATGGTACTCACCCTCATAGACACTCTCCCCATTTCTGATCACCCTCGCCTTGCTCCCCTTCTTGACGAATCCGTTCCCGATCCTGCACCCGGCAATATTCTTGAAAATTCTCTTCTTGATATTGATCGGGAACACCTCCAGCACTTCGGCCTCGCCGACCACCCTCTTCAGGACCAGCGGCGGCAGCGCCTCCACCATCCGCTCCCGCACCTCCTCGACCAGGTGGTAAATGATGTTGTGCTCGAGGATCTTGACGCCCGCGTCGTTCGCCATCCGCTTGATGTGCGCGGGGATGTTGTTGTTGAAGTTGATGATGAAGCTGCCAGAGACGGCCGCGTGCTCGATGTCCGACTCGGTGATCTGCCCGGGCGCCGAGAGCAGCACCTTGGCGCGGACGTCGTTGTTTCCCTGCTCGAGCAGCGCCGCCGTGACGGCCTCCACCGAGCCGTGCACATCGCCCTTGACGAGGAATGGGACGTAGTGCGTCTTGTCGGCTGGGTCCTCTTCGCGCTCGGCGGCGACTGCGTCGGCTATCGCGCGGGTGATGTGGCGTCGACGGTGTCTCCGATTGGGCTGTGGGTCAGCGGCGTCGGCGAGTTCCCTTTCGCGCTCGCGCTCCAGATCCCGCTCGCGGCGGTCCTGTTCTTGCTGGGCCATCTGGGAAATGATTTCGCCGCGGTCTTTAAGTTCCTGGCGGTATCGGACCGCGGCTTTGGCCTTGCCTTCGTCGGGGGCTTGGAGAACCTGGTCGCCCGCGTCAGGTGGTTCCCTCCAGCCAAGGACCTCGACGGCTGTCCCGGGAGGCGCCTCGTCAACTTCAACGCCGGCTTCGTTCCGGAGCGAGCGGATCTTGGCGTGCACGCGCCCGGCGACGATGAAATCGCCGGGCCGGAGCGTGCCACGCTTAACGAGGACAGTGGCAACACGACCAATCGGCTTGATGGTTGACTCAAGTACCCAACCCTCGGCCAAACCGCCTGGCTCCGCGCGGATATCGAGCATTTCGGAGAGTAGGAGGATGTTCTCTTCCAGGTCGTTCATGCCCTGGCCAGTCCTGCCGCTGACACAGACAACCTGCACGTCGCCACCATAGTCCTCGATTTCGACGCCGTGTGTAGCAAGGTCAGACTTCACTCGCTCGATATTGGCTTCGGGCTTGTCGACCTTGTTGATGGCCACGATGATGGGTACCTTGGCGGACCGGGCGTGCTTGAGAGCTTCCAGGGTCTGTGGCATGACACTGTCGTCGGCAGCAACGACCAGAATCACCATATCGGTGACGCTGGCGCCACGCTGGCGCATCGACAAGAAGGCGGCATGGCCGGGGGTGTCAAGGAATGTGATCTGCTTTCCACTGGACAAGCTTACCGAGAACGCGCCAATGTGTTGCGTGATACCGCCGTGTTCCTGGGACACGATCGACGACTTCCGCAGGTAGTCTAGGAGAGTTGTCTTGCCATGGTCGACGTGGCCCATGATCGTGACGACGGGCGGCCGAAGCGGCAACGAGGAGAGGTTGGTTGGAACAGGTGCCGGCTTGAGGTCCTCGTCCTCGCCGGCATCCACGGTTGGCTCGAAGCCGTATTCCTGGGCCACTAATGCAGCCGTCTCGCCCGTGAGAATATTGTCCTTGCTAACCTCCTCAAAGCCAAGCTCCTCCAGCTGGGACACAAATACGTCGATTTTCTGGCCTAGAGCAATCGCCAAATTCGACACGCTGATGAATTCAGGAAGGAAGATGGGCGTCGGACCAGCTGCTTCAAGCGCAGCCTGCCTTTCCCTCTCTCTCTCGGCCTTCTCGGCCTTCCTCCGGCGCTTTTCCTGGTAGAAATCATCATCCCAGTCATCGTCCTCGTTGTCCTCTCTGCGTCTAACTTTGGGCTTTTTTGGCTTCTCCAGCCGCTCTGCTTCCGCATCACGGCCATACCGGTCCCCTCGACCGTATCGGGCATCCCGCTCATTACGACGAGAGGGGTAAACGGTAGGATCAGTCGCACCGGCGGCTTCTTCCTTGGCGGCCTCCTGCTCCTGACGAAGCTCGCGCGCAATACGTTGCACCTTCGCCTGCCTGGATTCTTCCGCATAGTCGTCCGTCCAAGCCCAGGTCTCTTCGTCGCCAGCCGCTGCCTGCCTCTTCTGCGCCTTGCTCTGCTTTTTTTCGGCCTGCTTTTCCAGAAGCGCCCATTGGTCTACTCCAACGTTTGAGGTCCCTACTTCGGGGGATTTGCCAACAGCATTCTGTTCAAGCGACTCGAAAAGGTCTACCCCGGGTTTCGACGCGTTTACCGGCGGTGCCGAGTCTATTGGCGAGATACCAAACCCTGGAGGCAGATTTCGTTCCCGCCGTGCGAGATTCTTCCAGTCGCCTTGGTCTGCCGGCGGTTGTATGAGAGCGCTGGTCGGCCGAGGAAGATCGTACCGGGGCGCGTTACCACGCGGGGTTGGCGTGGTAGGCGCAAATGGGTCCGACTGCTCGCGTTGATGCTGCCCGGCGGCCCCAAGCGTCCCTTCATCCCCAAACGATAGGACCCGGCGGCTCTGTGGGGCGGGGTACTCTCGGGGTTGATCGTTCTGAGGTAACACGGGTTCCTGCGGCTGGCTGGCGGGTTTTACCGACCTATCAGTCGCGCCAGCCTTTTCCCTCGCTGCGCGTTCGTGTGGAAGGAGAAACGCTAAAGGGTTTGTTTGTTGTGATGGTTGTTCTGCATCTGAATTGGCCGAAGGGGGTTGCGCCGCGGCCGAACCCAACCACGATGGAGCAGCGGATGCCCAACCTGGTGTTGTCTTCTCGGGCGTCACCCCTGGAGTAGACCAAGATGGAACAGCGGATGCCCAGCCTGGTGTTGTCTTCTCTGCCGCCGCCGTTGCCGGAGTCGACCACGATGGCGCAGCGGATGCCCAACTTGTCGTTGCCTTTTCGGGCGCCGGCGCCGGTGCCGGACGAGGCTGCGCTGGCGATGGCAAAATAAGTTCATCAAGGTCCGCTTCCTGGGAGTTGGCCGGAGTCACATTCCTCGGGGGGACAGGTTGCTGTGGTTGTGCGCTGTCCGTGACGTCCCCTTTAGCACCCCGTTCTTGAGGAAGCGACTGACCGGAGTTGACGGCCGGCGGTGGGTTAGTCGGTGGTGGCCGTGTACCGTCCACAGGCTTGTACATTGTAGGTCTTTCGTGAGGAAGCTGGTCATTGATACGGGCAGTCGGTTGGGTGAGCCCCGGTAGTTCAGTCGTTAGTGGCCGCGTTCCCAGAGAATTCGCCCTTGTAGCCATTTCGCGAGGAAGCAATCGATTACTCCGGCCTATCGGTTGAAGGGCCTCTATAGGTCGTGGCCGGGGCGGCGGTGGGGGCGGGGCCGGACGTGTCCGTTCCATAGCCTTTTCTCGAGCGGCACGTTCGTGTGGGAGCAATCCATCGTTCGCGGGTATCATCCGGACGCCTTGGAATGAAGTAGTCGGAGGTGGCCGTGTTCGTCCCATGGCCCTTTCTCGTGCGGCACGTTCGTGCGGGAGTAAGCCATCGTTCGCGGCTACCGGCCGAGCATCTTGGGTGGAGGTGGTTGGCAGTGGTCGTGCTCGGGCCATGGCCTTTTCTCGCGCGGCTCGTTCGTGTGGGAGCAATCCATCGTTCACGGCTATCGGTTGGGCGTCCTGGGTGGATGTAGCTGGAGGTGGTTGTGCTCGGGCCATAGCTTTTTCTCGTGCGGCTCGTTCGTGGGGGAGCAAGCCATCGTTGTTGGTCGCTGGTTGTGCCGCCGGTTGTGCTGCTGGCTGTGCTGCTGGCTGTGTTGCCCAACTGGGTAGGCCGCCGGTGATAAAGGTCCTCCTATATCCCTTCCCATGCCCCAAGCCTGCCAATGCGCCCAACCCGAGCGGTTTACGCGGGGTCACCGTGCTGTCGAACCCCTCATGCCTGCTCCCAACGATTGCGACGGTGTAAGGTCGCGTTGAGCTGCCGGCGCTCGGCGGGTGTGTACTCGCAAACGACCCGAGACATGTTGCGCCATCATTGGGAGTCGACGACGGGCGGAGGGCGGGGCGGGTGTAAGGTCCGTAGCCGTAGCTGAACCGGCAGAGCAGACATGCCGAAGGTCGGTTCTGCTTCTAACGCGAGGCCGTCAATACTCGGGGGTTTCTCGGACAAGTTAAGTCTCTAAAACGTACCTGCTGCCATAGTCCACGTCGCATCATCGTCGAATCTGGCGGGGCATGGCGGTCTCAACGGAAAGATGGGGAGCGACTTCAGGGTTTCCTCTGCTGCAAGTCCATCAAACCCAAAAATTCGGCCAGAGCTCCGCCGATCTAGGGTACCCCCGGCACCCCTGCCAACAGGGGATGAAAGACAGGTCCGCTTTTGAGAAGTATGCAGGGTTAGGGTCTTGGCGATTCGCATTCGGTGTCGCTCGCCGCAATTTCCTCCTTGATCTTTCAGTTCAGAATCAGATAAACCAAGGAAGAGACGGAACCTCTGCCTGCTCCACGAGGTTGTCAACGCCTCACAAAATCACCCTCATTTATTCTCGGAGGTTCTTTAATTCCCCTATTACTTCATTCCAGGACAACCCGGACACCACCAAAATTCTATTTCCCCCTTAATTTTTCACATCCTCGACCGCCTTTCAATCAACAAACACGCCCCTGAATCAGTTCTCAACACAACTCCCATCATCACCACCACCACCACCACCATGGCTCCTAAATCCAAAGCCCGCCTCACCCCCTCCACCAAATCCACCACCACCAGCTCCTCATCCCCACCACACCCCTTCAAACCCGCCCCCGCCGCCCTCCAACCCTTCTGCGCCACGCTCCCGCCCGGCCATGTCTACATCACGCACGTGGACCCGCGGCCGTCCGCCGCCAAGCGCAAGCTGTTCCTGATCCCCATCGGCATCAACCTGACGGTGATCGCGCTGTTCGTGTGGCGGGTCGCGCACATCACGCCCTACTACCTCGCGCTGGCCATGTCGATGCTGGGGCACAGCAACGAAACCACCCTGCAGACCGCCGACCTGACGTGGGCGGAGCTGGGGTGGGCGGTTGCGCGGCGCGCGGCGACGTTCCTGCTGGATTTCGTGCTGGGCGTGTTTGTGTGGCCGTGGCCGTACGAGTTCTTTGTGGGCACCACGGGGCGTGGTAGTCCCGTTGCTTGGCGCTGGGCGGTCGGGTTCCGGGATCGTGAGGTCTATGTGCGTCGGAGTCGGGATGGGTGGGATGGGGTGCTGCGCAAGGAGAAGGTGGATTTGTTTGATTCCGAGGCGGCTGAGGCGAGGGAGGGCCGGGATGCGATCTTGTCGCGGGTGAGGACGGCGACGGCGCCCATGTTTATGCAGCAGAAGACGGGGTATTTGACGATGAATGGGGAGTGGGATTTGGATTGGAGGGGGATGGTGGATGCGACGCGGCTGGTGGATTCGAAGGAGATCGCGCTGGAGGCGTTCGGGACGGTGGTGTTGTTGCACCATGCGAAGTTTGGTTGGGTGAGCGTGGATTTGGGGAATGGTGATAATGCGGAACAGGACGAGAGGCGGCGACAGGTGATGGCTTTCAGGGATGCTCTCGCGGCGCTGGGGAAGGAAGACCTGTTCTTCCGGTGGGTGGAGATGATTCAGTTCGAGACCGACCAGCCGGGTGGGTTCACAAGGGAGAAGCAGGTTGTGGCCGCGCAAAAGATTCGGGACATGTTCAAGACCAACGGGGTGGATTTTGATGGCCTTTGGAAGGAGGCCGTGGGTACGGATGGGCTGGCCGGTATGCCGGAATAACATTGTATTATAGATAGATGTCTGTACTATCACATTGGCAAGGAAGAGTAAATATTAAAAGCGGACTTTCCGCGGTGCGTTCGCAGAATGCGCTGGTACAGGCAGCAAGAGATTTAGAGGTAAGGTACTATCCTACGACGTGATGATTCATTTCTTCTTCCCCGTCTTCTTGGGTCCGAGGGCAGCCTCACGCCGCTTAGCCTCCCTGGCATCAAGCTCAGCCCGCTTTTCCTTCTCCTGAAGTTCCTTCTCCTCTTTCTCGGCCTGTGTGTGCCATGTCAGCCTCTGCGTATAAAACAATATCATGCGCAATTTAAAAAAGCATACCTGTTTCCGGGCCGCCTCGATCTCACGCTTTTCGCGAATAAGCTTGAGGCGAGCCAAGTCCGCTTTGGCCTCGTCCGTCTTGCCCGCCTCATGCAGCTTGCGATACCTCTCCTTGGCCGCCGCGGCCTCGATCGCCTCGCGTTCCCGCCTGCTAGGCGCGACGCTCATCTTCTCGACGCCCTCGGTGGCCTCTTCGACGGAAGACACCTTGGTTTGGTTGCGAGCCTTGCGTGAGTGGTTGGGGTTGGCGGGCATGTCGTCATCCTCCTCCTCCTCCGAGTCGCTCGGTGGTAGGTCGCCAACCTCTACCGGCTTCTTGGACCGCGCGATGGCCGCGTCCTTGCGTGCCTTCTTTTCTTTCCTACGCTCCTCGCGGCTCAGCTCCGCAGCGGATTGGCTTTTTGTGGAAGGGCCGGCGTCATCCGAGCCCTCCTCCTCAGACTCGTCCTCCTCCGAGTCCTCTTCGCTGTCCTCATCGGACGACCCCTTCTTCTTCGCATCCGCGCTCCACATGTCGATTTCGTTGCCGTCGGCATCGAGCGGCCGGAGGTCACGCGAGAAGTGCTTGCCGCCTAGGGCTAGTATCAGCGTCTCTGTTTGTAATGGCGGGAATGGATCACTTACCGCCACGTGTGTACTTCTTAAACTTTCCGCCACGGCCGCGAGAGTTTGCGCCTGGACCACCACCTGCCATTTTTGCGATTGTATGCGTCGAGTCGAGACTCCGAAATCGAATAATTGAGGGGTATGAGAGGGCGGGGTATTAAATCTGCAAGATTGCTAATAGGAATCCCCGATAATTCGAAGAAGAATCGATCCTTAACAAGCACCGTCGCTTTAATCACAGATCAGATAGATAACTCTGGGCAGAGGACAGAGCACCAAGGCGAGCAGGCGGCTGTTTTAAAAACAAGCCATGCTTCCCGGCGCAGAATGCCAACCCCGCCATCCCACCATTGCGGGGCCGCCGACTCACGGTGTCGATACACAGCACCTTTGTGATAGGCTGGCACGTTTGGCTAACCAGCCGCAGGCTCGGCCCCCATAAGGTAGTATGTAAAAGATCTGGAGTTTGACTATCCAAAGATCGCCGCCATCAAGTCAAGTTTAGAGATATGAGTGATGAGTTTCTTAAATTGAAGTTACCTACCTAGGTACCTTTAATTCGACCAGGCCAGGCAAATTCCATCACGGGGCACCGAGGCCCCCTAGCCAGTGGTTTCTTTCGGCTGGGGCCTCAGATTAAATCACTCCTGATTGGTTCGGGTTGCCCCACCACAAACACGCAGCTTAAAATCTTTGATTTCCCGTTTCGCTTTCTGCTTCTCTTCTCTTTTTCTCATCATTCATAAAACACAGTTCCTTCAAATTCACTCCGGTCCAAGTCTTACGCCATGGCATTCTGGAGGGGAAACTGGAGGATAGACAGAATTTCTTGCTCTTACCCTCTGTCTCCGGCAGCTTGCTGCATCGTCGGGGAACAGAGAAATATTTTGCCAGATACATCCATCCCTCGTCATCTTTCACAATGTTGCATCGCGGAAGTTTGTGTCTCTTCCACGACAAGGCCGTAGTTTAGTAGCTTTATTTCCAGGTCTTGGGACGCCAAATCACTGATGAAAAAACATTTGATAAGAAAAAACAAAACCTCCTCTCACCTACAACAAAAAGTGGGTATGTGCCAAACTAGAAGTATCAAGACTTTCCAACACCCACTTCATTCAACCATGGACGAAAGCAGGTCTGCAATTGTCTGCCCCTGCCGCTTCTTCGACTTCTGCGGTTTCGGCGCCTGGGGATTCTCCTCACGATTATCCAGATGAGAAGCCCGTTGACGGCGCGCCTCCGCCTCTCGAGACCGGGAGAAAATCAGGCGCTCAGCGTACAGAGTCTCCCGGGAATGATATTCGCCGCAAGGGTGGTCACACAGCGTGAAGCTCACAAAGCGATCCCTCGGCAGCGTCACGCCGAATGCTTGCATTTGGCCGGCGGGTGGCTTCCTCTCGCCGCCTTGGCGCTGGTCTAGAAGTGCAAGGAACCAAAACACTTGGTCCGCCGTCATGTCGAAATGGCTCGTATCGCTATCCTTGTGGAACCCTGCGAGGCGAGATAGCATGTGACTGCCGTCCAACACACTCCGCCAGCCGTCATCGATATAGTCGCGGAGCTCCGGCTTCTCGGGTTCAGGTTCGACGTGTCCCGGATCACGCTCGGTGTCTGTTTTCTCGTCCTTCAATTCCCGGCTTTTCTCCTCTTCCGGATACAGCAGCCGTCGGGGGTTATCAACCCAGACTACCTCTTGCTTGTCTTGCTCGAACATCTTCTTCAAGCCCAAGGCACCTGTCCAATGCACCGGGATTCGCCCGTCGAGGTAAGCGTCGGCATATGCTACGAACAGTCTTTTCTCTGGGATTTCGGGGGGCCTTTGCCTCTCTGCGTAACGCCAGCGCCTATCCCCTGCCTCCTCGACTTTCCAGCCACAGCGATTCGCGACATCCTTGGCCTGATCACTACGCAGTGTCGAGGAACGGAGTGCCGTGATATCAAAGATCTCCAGAGACGGAAGCGGCAGCACGTATTGCAGGGCTCTTTCCGTAACCTGGTGCCTTTTCGACGCAATTTTCAAGACGCGCAGGGTTGGGAATCTCTCTCCCTCTACCTCGCCCCATGCCCGAAACAGCCTATCGCTAACCGGGCTGTCCCTGTCCTCCCGCTCCACGATCTCTAGCACAGCCAACTGCCGCAGCTTAGCCAGGGCTACCAATTCGTGAGTCTGGAAACGCGGGACGTTGTCGATGGAAAAATATATGAGACCATCCGTCCAGTCCATAAACGGCGTGATATACGCGCTCAACCTGCATTGCGGAGCGCCAATCTCCAGATTGTAGCGAAACACGGCCATCTCCGCCGTGAACTGTGACTCCTTCTCCTTGCCCTTTCCCGACGACGCGGAGGCAGCGCGGGCGGACAACTCCGGCATGAAGGCCCCAGTCAGCGCCCGCCAGGATTGCAGGGCCATGTTCCTGGGATACAGCTCTCGGAAGAGCGCGCGCTTTAAATGGTCCGGGAGTTCGAGGATCGTCTCGAAGGACACGTCACGAATGTTGTCCGCTAGCACGCGGGTACAGGCCGCTATCATCGACCGCGGGCCCTTGGTCCCTCGCCTGCTCCGCCCGGGCGGGAAGACGATGAAGTTCTCGCACACCCGGTCCCAGTCGCTGCCGGGCTGGTAAGGCGCGGTGAGAGAGGTTAGTGGCGCTCTGTGGTAGCCCTGGTCATTCTTAGCGGGTGCGGTGATAGCTGCGCCTTTGGAATTGGAGGTATCGGAGGAAACGGGTGACGTCATGTTGAGCAGCCGTTAGGAAAGGCAATAGTTGTGAGGTATTCGTTGTTTTGAGCGACATTCGCAGTATCGGTTTTTGTCTCACGAGGAAACAGCGGTCAGAAAAAGAGGGGATGTGGACTTCTTAATAACCCAAATCTTAGCACAAACTCCATATGTTTATCCCAAAAGAACGGGGCCAAAAATAACAGCGAGCCGCAGCATTGTTTTCGATACATGGCATTGTTTTGGGAGCAGCTTCCAGAATTAGGTTGTCCAAGCTCAAAACTCAGCTGGAGGCGAATGAAAGCCACGATTTTCATCCACGCAATTGCGAACTACAGGAGATTTCGATTGTAGGACTGAAACCACGCGGCCATTTAAATAGGCGTCAGTTCTTGGGAGGATTGGCATAACGGTGGAATACGTCAAATGACGAGATACCACCGTCTCATTACAAAAAATAACAATCGATTCATTGTAAAAAAAAACTACTTCGAGAGCCGATTCTATGATGTGATGATTGGCCGAATGGTAGAGTGAGACTCTATGGGTGGGTGTTGCCTTGTAACGCAGCAAGTGATCATGTCTATTGAAACTCATTGGAGTGTACCCTGAGAGTAGGAATTGTAAAACCGAAGAAAGCGTTGGGGACGGTGATTGAATATATGAAAAAGAGGGGAAAAAAAAATGAACAAGAAGAAAAAAGGTCCAGGTAGAAGAACACAGAAAGGGAGGGAGGGCATCCAGCCGTCACCAACGCGGTACCATTTCTAACAAGCGGCGTGCTGCCGGACCTAAGTAATATGCAAGGGAGGCAATGCTGTTGCTTCGTTGGGAGGAGATCGGATTCCTCATCAGAGGCGTCATCCTCCACCGCGTAGCCGCCCAGGGAGAAATTTATGTTCTTGCACTCTTTTACGGGATGGCGGCATTCTACCTATTCTGTAATACTGCTACTTTACTCGGCACCGTCGCGAAGAGCCCGACAGAGCTCAAGTACAATGTCCTGAATTTAGGCAAGACAAAGTTGAAGCAGAATGTGGGTTAAGTGGGTTAAGAGACTAGCGGCAATATGTAGGTAGGTAATCATTTCCGTTGACTCCTGTTGGTGTGATGCCTGTTTTTAGGCCTGCAAAAATGGCAGTGACGCAACCCACGCTGGTAGGAGATCATCAAGTTTGAGGAACGCAAGGTCTAGATTTGAGCAGGGCGATGATGATGGTGCGAGACTCCAACGAGTTCCGGAATTCAAAATTTGTTCTTCAAGTATACTGTTCTGGGTCAAAGCCCGTTCGTTGTCACTACATGATACTCTTAACTGAAGAGAGATGGGGTCAGTGTCGACCGCCAGTGAACAGGCTAAATTGCATTCGGCTCCGTTCTCGAAGTCCGAATCCAACATTGTACTGCCTTCTGCGAAGGGCAGGATATGGCTCGGGCGTGGGTTGGGGATTGGACCTAGCCTGTGTCGGAGAGTTTGGATCCAAGTCAAGGAACATCCAGTCACGTCCCCCCCCAGTAGCAGCAACAAGAGGACCCGATCGAGTTGTGATTTTATGTTTTTCTATGCGCTAGAACTATTGTCCACGGCACCTCTGCAAGCACTTCGCTGCTGGGCCAGACACCCAACCCCAACTCCCTCCAACTCCGCTCCCACACCGTGCAGGCGAGATACCTACCTAAGTAAGACCACACCACCAACAAGCGGCGCTGGCCTGCTATAATAGGCCCACCAGAAGAGTCGGAGACCCGAGGCTTTCACACCCACCATCTCCTTCTCCCTCCGTAACATGCGCCGTCGCGTAGCTGCACGGCAATCTAAGCATGCTCACCCAGCGCTGCCAGCTCGTCAACCACAGACTTCTTGGTGTTGATCTTCTTGACCTGCGTCTCCTCCAGTTTCTCGCCGCCCGCAAGCCTCATCTCGAGGTCCTCGATCGCGCGGATCTTCTTTTGCAGGGCCCTGACCTTTTTAGCGTTTGGGTTGGCCCCCGCACCACCAGCTCCGTCCGCGTCGCCGGGGGTAGCGGGTGAGACGGGCGAGCCACCGCCCTGGCCAGCTTGGCTGGGGCGGTTGCGAGAGGCGCCGCGTTGCGCGTTGGTGCGGTTGCGCGGGCCATTGTTTTGGCGAGAGCGGCTACGGGCGTGCTGTTGGCCCCGTCGGTCAGGGCTGCGGCCTTCGTTGCCCGATGCGCTCCCGTATTCGCGGGGAGACGGCGCAAGCCCCCCCTCAGTAGGGGATCCATTGGCGGCGGTGGCGGCGGCATCACCTTCCTTGGCCTTCTTGTTCCGCTTCTTCTTGTTCTTCTTGGCCGCGTTGCCCTCATCAACGGGCGCCGCGCCAGGAACGGAACGGCTGGCCGGCTCCGCTCCCGGGACTAAGTGACGCGGACGGCCGAAGCCGTTGGGGCCGACTGAGGCCGTTCCGTTGCTAACGATGTGGGCCGCACCACCCTCGTCTTCACGCTTGAAGTGCAGCGGGGTTAAGGCACCCCGCGCGCCGGGCGGGCGGTAGGCTCCCACAGGTTTGGATGGGGTCTTGACCGTGCCGAGGAACGCCATGCCGGAGGCGTGCGGGGTGGGCACGGGGTGCAGAGGATCTCCGGCGGGAAGATTTTCTGCGGGGATGGGACGCCACATGGCGTTGTACAACTCGACCATATCCTCGTTGTACATGATACCGCCGCCGACGTGCCAGAGTTTGATGCCGTTGTCTACGCGGAGGCGAGGCGACGTGGTCGCAGTCATGATGTAGCGACTGTCGGGGCTCCAGGTGCAGACACTGGGGTTGCCGCTCTCGTGGGTGCAGATCTGCACCCGCTGCTTCTCCAAGTCATAGACATCCATCTGACCGGCCAAGTTACCGTCCCCCAGCCCGCCGGGGTGAACCAGACCGCGAGAGGAAAAAAGATGATGGTGTTGCGAGGACCGATCGGGAACGAGTGGATGGTCCTGCCGCGGTGGTTGAAGGATGGTCGTCTTCGCGGGCATGAAGCCGTAGATTGACCGGCCGAACTCGGTCGAAGTTGGGAGACCAGGCAACGTCATGGATTGGTCCCTCTTTGTCTAGCGTGATCCTAGCGTCAAACGACCCGTTGGCGCTCAACAGATACATGGTCGTCTCGCCATAGTAGCTCTTGTTCGACTTGTCGACTTCTGTTTGTGCCAGCACAATCAAACTCGTTCCCAGCGCGTTCCACTTGAGCTGCACCTTATCTCCCTTGAAGAAGGTCTTCTGGGAGATGGGGCTCGCGAACGACGGCACGTTGTAGACCTTGACGGCAGCAGGTTGACCCTACAGAGAAAACGTTAGCGTCGAGATCGCGACATCCTGTAAATTTCTTTAACCGGCTTACCTTGCGCTCGGGAATGAAAACGGCAACGTTTTGGTTCAGGCCGGGGGCGATGGCGAAGTCGGTCACACCCTCGGCGCGCAGCTTGTTCCAGACAGTCGAGAAGTCGTTGCTGTTGTAGAACTGCACCTCGTTGGTGACCATGCGGGGCGGCAGTACTTCTCGTCGGCCGTGTATTGCAGGTTCCAACCCGACTGCGACTTCTGGACAAACTTGCCGAGCGGCTCCTTCTCGTCACCGTCGGCGACGTCCTCGATGGTGCGCCAGATCTTTAGGTTCTTGGTGGCGTCGCCATTCTCGTCCTTGGCAGGCCGCTCCCAGGTGCTCAGATAGTTGCCTCGGGGGGAGAATCCGAGCTCGAAGGCGTTGGCAATAGGGAGCGCGGTCAGCACGTGGCCGACCGAGGCATCAGCGACAACGACACCCTCATTAGAGGCGTATGCGAAGTAGCGGCCGCAAGGCGAGTAGACACAGCACCGGAGGTTCCCTTCGGGCTTCTCGAACCCAGGAAGAGCCTCGTAGACAGGGGCGGCATCGAAGACACCGATGGCCTTCTGGGTTCGGTAGGCAAACTGCAACGGATTCGCCATGACTAGTCAAAGCCACAGGTGGTCGCGAAAGCAGATGTGGGTGGTGTTACTGTTGTTTTCTTGGTTCTTCTTGCTGTCTCCCTAGGGATGACTGCGTTCTCAATCGTAGCGCTGGAGCCGAGCCAAATCAATGGGATGCGAGGACAAAGGCGATCAGGAGGCTTGGACCGACTATCGAAGAGTCAGATGCCGCCGCAGAAAACTGGCCTTTACGCGATGGACTGGCGGGACGTACGTGGTTGTTGAGGACAGAGACACGGAAGATTCGGGGATTCGGGGATCGGTTCGCGACACAGCAAAGCCTACCACGCGACAGCAGGGAAGCGGTGATGAGGCGATGGGACAGGTGTCGAGGCGGGCCTTTGAGGTGTTGACAAAGAGGCCGCGGAGTAGGGATGCGATGGAAAACCCGACCGACAGGAAGAGGGGGAACAGTAAAAAGAAGAGAAGGGCCCTTGGGGAGAGTTGACGAAGGCGGTGCGCGTTGGACCGGGTGGGCTTGGGAACGGGGGAGGAAAGAAGAGAATGAAAGGGAGGGAGGGACGAAGAGTGAGAATGGACGGGAGGCAGTCCCACAATCTCGCGACCATTTTTTTAGCTTTCTGCATGCTGATTCAGGCGTTGCCAGGCGGGGGCCATCTGTGTGGCACCCGCAGGGGGCCAAGTCCATGGTTGGTCGAGGCCGTTCAGGCCCCGCTAAAATGCTCGGCTCTGGATGCCAAGCCTCGCTGGCTGGGTTCTCTTGGCGTCAGATCTCGCCCCATCCATCTTTGACGGGAGTCGCCCTGGGCATCGCTTTTGGCCACAGGTTGAATTTAATTATTTTTCCCCCGACAAGATACCTCTCTAGTGTGGCATAGCATCATGATTCTTGACCGTCTTTTGAACGCAATTTCATTTATTAGGTGAGCCAGAAAAATGGGCCGCTCCCCAAAGCTTTCCAATTCCCAAACGTGGAGGTGACTTCATGTCGGGCATCAAGCCGTACGAGCTGCGGGCAAATGCACATTGAATGCACTGCTCTAGGAAACCCTCTTTCCGTCTTGAGTAAGCGTAGGTACATACATAACGTTTCAAAGGCTCTCCTATCTTGTGAAAAATCTTCCCAAACCCCTTCTTTTTTTTTTTTTTTTTTGCAGATCCAGCTCTGTATGAAGATGGCAGTAACCACCTAGCCATGAGGCCAATCCATGACGCGATTTGGGCCACAAAAAGACATCTTTTCAGAGCGCCAAACATGAGGGACCCTCTTTCAAATCCCACATAATTGGGAAGTTGCTTCAACTACAAGAGGGTAGCACACGGGTTTGAGTAGAAGAAAGATCACTGGCCATGTCCTTCCCCCGTCGTCAGCCCTGGAATATCGAGATCGGATCTGCGCCGTTGAGGCGATCGGGGCCATGGTAGCAGGCGGGGGCTGGCTCCCCCGGAACAAGCCGCTGGTGGGGGGGATCCATCGGGTGGCGGCACCAACGGCTTTGCGCTACTCTAATTTGGGCAGCTTGTTCAGCCTCATCAACGTCCCTCAATCAATTCCTTTGACCATCCCGTCACCGAATTCGGATGGGTTGGGGAAAAACAACACATGACCTCAATATGTCTGCCCCGACCTACCCTTTCGGTAATAGAGAGGACAATATATGGCTTTTTCCCAAGCCCATCCAACCACAGTACACCCTACGTCTCCCTGTCATTATCCCTGACTTGCCCTGGCTTGCCCTCTCTGTTTACTTGTTTGTTGACTTGCTCGAGCTGGGGGAACCTGGAATATGTCAGTCAACAGGTTGCATATTCCGAGTTAGACCCCACGTATCCCATTAAGCAATTTCTCTCCCCTACCTCAGGCAACCCCAGGCAGCCCCAGGTGATGCGGAGACTGCCAAAGTCCCATGCCACCTACAATTTGGAAGCAGTGAGGGCGGTGGGCTCCCCATCAGAGCAGAAGTCTATCTCTCCACACAAAAACAGAACAGCCCACAAATGCAAGCTTATATGTTTGCTTGGGTATTCTCTCCTTTGCTGTCTATACTACTTCGAAGGTCACATCAACCGAATGGCAGTGTGACTTAGGAGCTGGGAACATTTCTCTTGTTACCAGATACTCAATCACGTCCGGGTGCAAGGCGTAGAAGCCACTGTGCTCAAGACCAGAGAACGTTCACACAAGATTTTGATACACGTAACTTGTCTCTTCAGAGACCCTATACTCTAATCCCTGAAACGGATGACACGTTTTGATGTCTGCTCGCTGTGTCTTGCTCCGCATTATCCATGCTTTGGTCTGGCCCAGCGATTGTGGTCCTGTGAACGCCATCAACACCAGGAACATTTGTTCCCACCTGTGAGTAAAGGTTATCCTTTGGCATTTCACTGCCCTACCAACTCAGAGAAAGAGAGGGTAACCACAGGGCTAAACTAAAGGCCCTGAGATATCAGACGGAAAACTACGCACTAGTCACTGGCAGGCAGGAAAGAACGGAGAGTTGTCAACGCGTTGCCCTGGATCCAAATCAGTAACGCTTGGACCGTGCACCCACAACTATATATCTTAATTCAGATTTGTTTTCTGGTTCTCGATCTCTCCTTCTTTTCTTAATCATCGCCAACTTCATCGCTGTCTTCCCATCGTCCCGGCGACTAAATTCTTTTCAATTTTTAACAAGGAAGACAGCGACAAGGAAGTGTAAGTCTATCTCATCTCTCTCCTGTGTCATTTTTATCAGCACGACGGCATCGTTTTTTTTATCCACGCGGGTCCATTTGGTCTAGGCGGTGCTCGGCGGTGCAAATCCTCCAAGTGGTCGACTCGGGGCCGTTCAGAATTGGCACTGAGCAAGTCTGAGTCTGGCATGAGGATGGCCTCTTTTCTCTAAGACGCTGTCTTTTACCGGCCAGACAGGTGTACTTCATTGATTCACATTTTGTCCTCATTAATTCTTTGCCCTCTATTCCCTTGTTCATATGACACCTGGTTCTCTGGTCACATTAAGCTGCTGGTTGGGCAATGAGCTAACATTTATTCATTAGGAAGATGGAGCAGCACCGCGGTGCTCGCCCGCCGGGCCTGCGGCCCCCTCCTGGGTTTGGTAAGTTTACTGCGATGAGGCGATGAGATACTCCAAGAGGAACGTGCGAAATGGTGGCCAAGAGGCCACCATGAGGACCATCGGGCAGTCTGGGCTGCGTTCACAGTAGAGAATGACTTACGACAATGAAGTGATTTCACTGAGTGGAAGGCATCAGTCAAGAGTACTCTGGCTTTGCTATAGCCCCTCATTCGGGAATCAGCACGCACTCAACACTTGTGGTCTGAACCTATGCCTCCGACACTGACATCAAGGCGGCCACTCACGCGCTGTGCAGCAATCAGCCCTGGACCCCCGCCTGCCCACAAGTCTATAAATTTCCTTTGCTTTCCTGCAAAATCGATCTTCCTTTCTCTTTCTTCACTCTCACAAACAACAGAAAAGCTGACTTTGTTCGCTTGCACCAGAGGCGCCCACCAGCCCCCAGCCCAAGACCACCACCGAGGAGCAACCCTCCTCGACGTCCTCTTCTGCCGCCTTCGGGCTCTTCCCTTTCCCCCCGGCCACGGGTTTTCCGCGGTCGCCCTCTTCTTCGGCCGCCTCCGGCCGCTCGACACTCCCCGAGGTGTCGAGCGAGTACAGCGATCGGGGGAAGATGGAGGAGACCAACGCGTGGCTCCTCGGCCACCACCACGACCAGGTGGTGGCCACCATGCACAAGAAGTTCCAGGCTCTCCTGGACTACGACAAGACGAAGAATCGCAAGATTCTTCACATCGACTGGTAAGTTCAATCCCATTCCAGCCCACTATACCACTCCGACTTCCAAAAGCGCGAAGGCGCGAAAACGCGGGGAAAAAAAAATCATCGCTAACCACGCGTTATTTCTCCTCCTAGGATCGCTGGGAACCCCAACGATCCCACCAAGAAGGAGGGAGCTGCCGCCGCCCATGGAGGTATGAGCGCCGAGGAACGGCGCCTCAGCGACAGCGTGGCCAGGACGGTCATGCGGATCACCCACGGCGTAAGCCAGTGGGATGAGACCTTAACGGTATGTCATGCAACTGGCTTTTTTTTACTTTTGCCATTTCCCGACCGTTCCCGATTGCCAGCGATTCCAGGAAACAGCCCCGCTAACCATCGCGTCTTTTTTCGCAGTGGAACAGGGCAATGTTCTACGGCGACTGGCTGAACGACCAGAAGGGGTTCCGCCAGTTCTTCTACGAGATCCAAATCAAGAGGATCTCTGGCGCCGACGAGGCGCTTCTCGAGAAATGCGGCATCAGCCCGGCGTTTGTCTGGCTGCCCCTACACGACGAGAAGGCTCCCGCCATCACCCCCATGGTGGTCCCCCCCGTCGTCCCCTCCCTGGTTCCTGGGCAGGCGCCGCGTGAGCTCCCCATTCCGGGCCAGGTCAACACCGAGCCCATCCCGGAGGTCGAGGAAGAGGAGTATGCCACTCCTACCCCCACTGCTTCCCTCAAAGTCCCGACGTGCTCGGCCGACAAGGGCAAGGGAAAGGCCGTCGCTCCCCAAGACCAAGCCGACGACAGCAATCCCGGCGCTCCCCTCATCGTCTCTTCCGAGCCCGCCCAGGCCACCCCGCAGCAGCGGACTCCTCTCCCCAGCATTGACAACCTCGCTCTCGGCCAGCAGAGCAGCGGCACCGACGACGCCGAGGCTCCTTCCGATCCTGGCACCCCTCGTCCCGGCATCCCTCGCAGCCAGCCTCTCCCCGCTTCCGGCAGCTTCGAGTCTATCGACCCCCCTCCCTCGGATGTATCCGACTCCTCCTCCGAGTCGTACGAGGATGAAGGCACCGTCTATCTAGCCGACGGCGTTGATCCCTTCGAGGCGCTCATGCCCGCCCACCACACTCCGGCTGTCAGCGCCGCCGACCTGCACCACCACCGCCAGGAGTTCGACCGCATTGCCTACGCCAAGCGCGAGGAGCTCGAGCACACATTTGCCTTCATGAAGGAACCCGAGGTTATCGAGCGCATCAAGAATTCCTTCGTCTACAGCGTCCGCGTCGTTGCCTTCCCTGACAACAACAACATCGTCAACGAATTCACGGGCCCGCGTGTCAAGGACCGCTACGGTACCATCATCGGACAGGGTGGTTGGATCGTGCCTCCTCTCGAAGAGCGCGCCAAATGGCGCGACGAACGCAAGCGTGCGTACCGGAACAAGGGCGCCAAACCTGGCAAGTATGAGGGCCTCCCCCGACAGCAAGTTCAGAACTGTATGCCCATGAAGTTCGACTGGTCAGACGGCATTGAGGCGCGCTATTATGGCCCGGTCGCCCCGGTCTGGCGCGAGACTTGCGACCCGACCTTGGAGGATATCTACTGGATGGTCTGGCAGCTGATTGCGGGGAAGCAGTTCCTCGGTTTCAACCCCGGCATCGGTTTCGGTTCACATCGACCCCGAGCGACGGGCGACGTGGCAATGCTGAACCAGTGCCCGTTCAAGAGTCCGTCGGCTGAGGCACTTTACCACACAGCTTCCCATCCGCGTGGCAAGGAGAAATAACTGTCCTGACTTCTTCATCAAGCTCGAGGCCCAAACCCGGCAAATACTTCTGCCATCGCCTCTTGAAGCAAACTATCACCACACCATCATGAATCACGAAGTCACGAAATTACGAAGTCACGCATACTCCCGAACCCTCAACCTTTTCCCTTTCCACGAGCCGGCGAACGTCACGACTTATCATCCTTCAATCGAAGAGGTCCCATTGACAATTACCACCGGCATTTCTTTTCTTCCCAAGAGACAAGCGCTGTCACGATTTATCGTCCTTTGCCCCGTAGATGTCACCCGATCTATCATCCTTCGATCGAAAAGGTCTCCATTCGACGTGCATGTCACACATGTCAGAGTAGTTACACATTTCCAACCTGGTCTCTTTCCTGCTTCTTCTCGCTGCAGCGTCGCCTCGCCTCGTCTCCACAACCCGCACAACTCAAGTCGGTACGCCTTCTCTTTTATCACCGCCATTCGGAGCGGAGCTGGTTCGTCGATACCGATCGCGGTCGTCGCACTCTGAGTTACCTACGATACCGGGAACAAAAGTGGATGGCATGACATCTCACATTACCACACATCAAGGCTGCAGCAACTCGATGACTTTTTCTCTGTTTCTGTCTTTCTAACGTTATTATCACGCACAAACTCAGATCCATCATCGCGGATCTTGCCCTGGTAAAACCGACGGGACATCACCACCGACCACATCAAGAAGACGGATGGGGTGCCACATCAGAGTAACGGGATCGATCGATATTGACCGACTGGGTTGGGGAGCCCTTTCACTTCTTTTCCTTCTTTCCTACCCTTGGCCTTCCCTCGAGCATGTATCGGGGTATTGGACTTGATTGACGCTGAGCTGGGTTGGGGAGCCTTTCTCACGTCTCTCTTTTACTCATTCAGCATGGACAGGGCGGCTTATAGATGAACTGGCCTTTGGAGTCTTGGAACGGGATTGGAACCGATTGGGTTGGGGAACCCTCTCTTTCTTTTGCTCTTACTCTCTCTCCTTCCTTTTGTTCTTCACATCTCACATGGTACGGACTTCACTGGGGCGTTTTGGGTCTTCACATCCATTTTCTTGCTCACGCACATACAACTTTCTCGGTTCTCCTGTAATTAGCACTAGGTAGAGAGATTTTCGAGATCTAGTAGTTAGAGTTTTGCGGGCTTAGAGCTTAGAGCTTGGAGGTTGATACCCTAGGTCTAGCCTCGTCTGGTTCATTTTCATGACGATTGATGATTAGGATGGTGGTTGATACCCATGGAGTTGGTTGGGCATTTGTCTAGGTAATATTTGCTGTTTGTTTTGATTGACCAAATTGAACGGTTTCTTCACAGTTTCTTGTGCCTGGGACTGAAGTTGCGATCGAGTATCAACCGCTGGCGTCGGCCCTTGTGGACATGTGATGGTGTTGGCCCAGGGTAAGCTTCCTTCCCACTTAAAGCCCTGATCCATGCCGTCGTCTGGGTAAAATGGTGGTTGGCCGACAGCGGTGTGGCATGCAGGGATGACGTCGTCTTATCCGCCACCATGTCGATCACCCGCCCACCTGCTGATTGAGGGATCCTATCTCTGTTTCAGAATGCGAATATCCTCATTGTTCAAAACAGCAACCTCGGGAGGCCAACTTTAGATGACTAAAGTTCCATAGGTAGTTATAGAATTGGAGCCTATATCCAAGCTCCTAGGACATTTGATGGCTGTGGGATAGGAAAGTTTGACATTTCGGACACCGCGGCCGGCATGGGGCTCACAAATGATGAGCCGAGGTCAAAAAGTAAGGAGGTATCCCGCCCATGGAGGTGATCTGCTTACGAAGTGAAGCTGAAGTCAAAGTCGATGAGCATCTTGACCCTCCACCCGTAAGTCAGCACATATGAAGTAAGCAACTCATCGTAAGCA